CTGTGTAGTTGGAGTTACCTGTGAGAGGAGACAAAATTCTAGCTGAGTGACCCGATAGGTCGTAAGCAAAGGGTGTTGACACAGGACATTATGGGTCTGAGCGGTGTGTTCTGGAAGACAGGCTAATGACCCTGTTTGTTTGGTCAACGTTGGGTTTCGAGGTTGACTTGTTGGCTGCTTTCTGTTCAAGGAGAAGCTTCTCGAATTTTTGTTTTTGTCGCTCCTTAGTGTTGTTGAAGACTCGCTGGGTGTTGGTACTGATCTGTTCTAGTAAAGCCTTCGCATCTTCTTCGGGAATTTAAGATCCCGGCTTTCAAACAAGCCCAATCCCGGATTCTGAAAAACCTATTGGGGACCCTCGATCATGGAGCGTAGAGGGCGAGATGGGGGTGTTTCTGGCTTTTTGTTACCCCTTTGAACTCCGACTTAAGCGGCCAATTATTGAGCAGCAAATTGGGCTGGCCAAACTCCTTGTGAGGAATACCTACGATGTTCATGTAGCTTCGGACAGAGGCAGCTTTAGGACTGCGGGCTAAGAAAGCAGCGTACTGCAGAAGGTGATCAGGCTGAACTGGCACCGGGGTGTAGCCCATGTAGAGGGAAAACCTCGAGTAGGTGTCGCGATGAGTTTTGTTAGTTGCTTTAGTGGATTCTGTATTGAGCTGAGACCGATACTTAGTATTTCCTGATGCCAACCGAGGGAGGAGTGACCGTGAGACGACAGGTGATCCGTCAGAGCCAAATTGGCCGCCGCAGCGCAACCTAAGAGTCCCCGGTGAAGACGGAGTAAAAGGATAACAGAAGAGGGCGCTCATGAAGGCACGAAACCGAATCGGCGATAGTTTTACGAAGACCCGCGAGATAAGTAAATAACAACTCGATGGCTTGCCCAGAGATGGCCCCATCGATTCGCAGCAAGAATTATAGCCGGCTAAAGTTTCTCTGTGGTTAATATGTAGACACGACCAAGCTGGTTGGTCAAGTGAGAAGTTCCTGTTCCTCCTGTTCCTTTCTTACAGCCAACGAAAGAACCTCGTGTTCGATTCGATGTCACCTGCTGAGAGAGCACGAATCGGTCATAACATCCACCGTTGGTCGGTCACGCAGGAGGAATTGGTTCCCGTTAAAGGCTTGCAAAAATTGTACCCACCGAGCGATATCACGGTAAAAGGAGGGAGCTAAACGATGCTTAGCACACAAGGGAAAGGAATTCAGGATGCTAAGGACGCGGCGAAGAAACCAACTCTCGCCGTAAACAATTCTGCACGCCCAATTTAGTTTACCTGCCAGTCGCCCTTTATGCAAGAAACTAGAAACTATGGTCTGGCATTCGTGAAGTTTCTCCTGTGGGAGCGCCATGCTATATGAGATTGTATCCAGTTCTACACCCAGAAAGGTTAATTTGCGGGCGGGTAGCACAAGTTTACGCTGACTGATAGTAAAGCCTAAATCCTGCAGCAATTGTAGCAAGACTTCATAGGCATGGGTGCATTCCGCTTGCGTAGCCCCAATGACAAGGAAATCGTCGAGATAAATGATAATGTTCACAAAACCTCTCTTCCACATCATGCGCCGAACAGCCTGTGTTAGACGATGAAAGATTTCAGGAGAGCTTTAAGCACCGAATGAAAGGCGAGTGTCGTAAAAGTAACTGCCAACATCGTCCCCCGAAAACCACCACTTGCAGCCCGTAGAGTTTACTGTAATTTGCGAAACGAAACGAAATGAAAATCTGTAATTTGCGAAATGGAAATATGCTCACATGATTTGCAAAATAGAAATCTGTAATTTGCGATTTCTATTTTGCAAATCATAAGCATATTTCCATCTCGCAAATTACAGATTTTAATTTTATTTCGTTTCGTTTCGTTTCGTTTCGCAAATTACAGTAAGCCGCTTGTAGCCTGATGATTTACAGGGTGGATGGGTACCGACCAGTAAGCATGTTTGAGATCTATTTTAGCCATAAAATAATTAGGTTTTTAGGAGTTTGATAGCGTCATCTAGGGACTGAAATTTAAAATACCACGTGCCGCTAAAATCATTGACAGCATGCCCATGCGGTCGAGAGCAGTCGTGGATAAGCCTTACCTCAGAAGAGTTCGGTTTAGGAATCGCTACTACTAATCCCCAGCCATGCTCGGCAATCGGGTTCCACAGCCTGCGCATTTAGCCACCCACTTCTCCAATTGTGAATAGTTTGATGAAATGGAGCTAAAACTTTCTTAGAAGCTAGAAATAAACTTGTTGTTTGTATGCTTGCTTAATTGCTAATGACACGTGCACAGAAACCTTAGAGGTAATATACTAAAGTAATTTCGCAATTAGAACCGGTTAGCATGGTGAACAGCTATTGGCTCTGCCCAAGTCTTCTGACTTGTATGTTAAACAAATTGCTCAATCTAAAGGAAAAGGAAAAATAATAATATGTACGCGGCCTGTTCCAAGTCCAAGCCTCTCAGTTATTGATGTCTAGATTTATAATAATATGGATTAATATTCATGTTAAGTGCTCAATCAAGTCAAAATTCCCTGGTTGACTAAACTCTAAATTTGCTACATTCTGGTAAATCTCACATGTCTGAAAGAGTAACGATGATTCACTAACTTATCCTTCCAATCACTGCTAACGGTTATACAATTTAGAACACAAGTCCCTTAATGAACCACTAGTTTCCCCATTCATGAGCACCACGGTATCAGCGATGCGGACCAGGAGAGCAGCAACTGCATCCTTATCATCCTTTGTCCAAACGTCACCTGAAAGATATTTCTCCACACTTCCCTCTGTTTCCTTAAGAGACAGAGATGGGCTGGGCTCTTCTGGCATATGTACAGTAAAAATAAAGGTCAATTCCTTATATGGTGCATTTTGATCATCACAATAAGAGTGAAACAGAAGTTGTGAGGGTGTTGGGAGAAGCTCAAGGTGATGGATGAGCACTACCTTGTGAAGAGCCTCAATTTTTGTCTTCAGCAAATTGTCCATCGTCATTTTGGTCTTTTCTGGAAGATTTGCTTTCTCTTTTTCACCATCAATTCTGGCCAAAGTTTTTTCATTTTTTGGATTCAGCACTTCTGCTAGTTTAATGGCCAGGCAATCCACCCATTCGTGTGCTGCTGGAGGTGCAGCCAGTAAGAACACCAGTGGTTGTGAAGGATCCTTATTCCGTAGGTGAGTCAATCCGCGACTTCTTAAATTCTTCCAGAACCGTTCGGTCTGATTAGTGAATGACAACTGTAACTCTTCAAGCCCATTTCCAAAGACTCTCTCCAGGTCAAAGTCAGCCTTCATATCGTTCTTAGGAGGAGCAAGGTAAATAGCTACAGTAATACATGCAACTGCGGCGGCTAAAATTCCTGCAAGGGGAAAATAACTTGATTACGACTTGGTACCAGGATTCGCGATGTGGATAAGTTTCGGTTGTCGCTTCCTCTCAGGATCTGATCGCTGCTCATCCGACTCTTTTTCCGGAAATTTGTCAGCAAGTGTCCGATCGCCTTTGTTATCTTTAAGGTCAAGGTTTGTTAATTCTCGCTTATCTGGTGCTGTCTTTACAGATTCACGAGCAGGTGTGTTTTTCCCTCTATGATTGTCTCTGCCAATTATTTCCCCAGTGAGTGTATTACGTTCCTGCGTTTCTTTACCTTCCTCCATGTCCTTCTCAGATACCTGACGTTTGTTTGCACCTTTGCCTTCGACACCTTCAGCTACACTTTCCGCTGCAGAGCTTTCAAAAATTTTCCCTTTTCCCTCAGGTTTATCTCCAACCTCTTCGGAAGACATCGTCTTAGCAAAAATAAGTGATGATCTCAAACTCTCAGGTTCTGAGAGTTGTTTGTGCGTTAACAAAGCGCGCGGTTCCTGGAAAAAGGTCTCCTGCTAGCGACTTGTAAAAATTAGTTACTCTGACAAGGAAAGTTATTAATAAATTGATTAAGACTAACCAATGAAAATTGCTGTACTAAGTAACACGGAAGTTTTCTAGAAAACCTACTGGCAAACAAAACGCGCTTTTCCCGGAAAAAGGGCCCCTGGTAGCGACTTTTATAAATTATTTACTCTAACAAGAAAGGTCATTAATCAATTGATTGAGACTAAACAATGAAAATGACTGTACTAAATAACACGAAAGTTTTCTAGAAAATCTGCCAGCAAACAAAGCGCGCGTTTCCCGGAAAAAAGGCCCCCGCTAGCAAATTGTTTACATTAAATTACTCTAGCAAGGAAGGTCATTGGTCAATTGATTGGGACTAACTGATGAAAATTGCTGTTCTAAATAAAACAGAAGTTTTTTTTTCAGAAAACCTTCAAGCGAACTAAAGCGCTCGTCAATACTGCAAAAATATGGAGAACAAAGGGAGGTTTGTGCTGCTGATGACAATTTTGTGTGCACCAATGATAAGTGCACTACTTTTTGAAGGTATTGTTGGAGGTGTTTTTCTTGTAAGTGGCTATTATTTTGCGCCAAAAATTTATTGTCATTTCACTGAATGCTGTGCTGAATGCTGTAAGAACAAGTGGATTAAACTCAACATGACGGGTTTACAGTCAGCCCTTCGGAGGTGTGTTCTTGGTCAACACTTGATCCCTGAGACCGTTTTAAAGGCTCTTGTTGAACATTTGAACAATGAGTCGCCTGATAAAGCGTTAGCCCTTTCCTTCAATGGCTGGACAGGATCAGGAAAGAACTTTGTGAGCAAAATCATAGCCGAACATATCTTCAAGAAGGGATTGGAGAGTGATTATATTCATCAGATCATAGCTACTCATGAATTCCCTCATCAGAACAAAGTAGATGATTACGAGGAAAAGCTGCGCGAACTAGTGATAGATTCTGTAAAAAAGTGCCCCAGATCGCTGTTTATCTTTGACGAAATGGATAAAATGCCCACAGGCCTCATAGATGTGCTTAAACCCTTCTTGGATCATTACCCCTCTGATGAAGGCAAGATCGATTACCGTCAAAGTATCTTCATATTCCTTAGCAATACGGGGGGTCATCTTATCTACGGTGTTGTTCTAAAACACTTGAAAGACGGAAAGAAAAGAGAAGACATCACGATTAAAGAGATGGAGAAAGTCATCAATCTCGGTGGATTTTGGCATTCCTTTCTAATTGAAAAAAATCTCATAGATTACCTTATTCCGTTTTTGCCGATGGAGAGACCTCACGTTAAAAAGTGTGCTAAAGCCGATTTAGAGAAGAAAGGACACCCAGTCACAGATTCCATCCTAAACAGAGTAGCTGACGAATTGTTATACTTTCCAGAAGACCAGAAGGTATTTTCTCGGTCTGGTTGTAAGAAAATTTCAAGCAAAATTGACTATGTGATGGGGTGAGGAATTTTGAAAACTTTGCACTTGAGACAGTAGGCAGCAAGTCAGGCTGACATAATGTGTAGACAATTAATAGAAACTTGTTTTTGAAGAAACAGTAAAAGCTTGTCACGTATACTTACCAAAACCAAAAGTAAATAAGTGCCCTGAGCACTAAATCAAATCTGTTCGGTAGTTAAGTTTCTAAGGAAAGTTTTATACTGACAAGGGCGAGAGCTGATACTCAAAATGTCAGCTTTTCTTAAGTTACTGTAGCAGCCAATTGATCTACCTATGTTTAATTTAGAGATCATATTGTGCCAAATATCTCCAAATCCCAAATCAGGTTCTCTTGTACCATGTTGTTTCTGATCAAAATGAAAGTTCTACTGGAAGCAATGATTTTGTAGAGGAGACACTCTTGCCTTAGCTTTTCACCTGTGTTTTAAAATTGCGCACTTTAATATGCCATCCTCTGTGAATTAACAGTAAGAAATGCAAAGATGTACTACAAATGTAAGAATGGGAACTGTATTAGTGCATTATCGTTCTTTTATTAAGAACCTAGCACCGTCCTAGGGAGATCATTAGACGTTCTTACGTAACGTCATTTATGTATGAAAAATGTTGATATAGTGTTAGTAGTATTCTTACTTAAGGTAGTCTGAAGAACCCTCTTCTAGTGATAATCCATATTTAAAGTGTCGAAAATAAATCAGTGTTTTATTTGCTTCTTGAACATGCATTGTCTTAAGAATTTCTTGTGTCACTGATGACTAGCTGAAATTTATAGGATAAATTTTATATTTTGTCAAAATTGACATCATTATTATTTTAGGAATGTAGGGTGTGCTATTTTGTTTTTTATGCAAGGGTTACCTCACATGGCAAGGACACGGTAGCAAAACAACATGGCTGAAAAGTAAACACATTGCTCGCACTGCAGCTGAAAACCTACTCAGATAATGATAACCAAGATCAGGTCTATTTCATTTTCTTCATAGCTGGATATTCCAAAACAATCTTGGTCTCTGTCCAACATCACGAAAACCTCATCTTGATAGGGAGGGGGAATATATATGGACACAACACAATAGAAACGGAGCTGACTTTCCATGAAGAAGAGAAGTTTATTGTCATTTTTATATCGACATGGTGACAAAAGGACTTGTTTCCTAGTGAATACCTCATGCATGTATAAGATACTTTACTTAACACCTTGGAGAGAAAGTTTATTCTAATTTTGGGTTATCAAAAAGGTGTTCAAGTTCCTTTATGTCACCTCAGATAATACTTCAATCTAGATTATTTACAAAATAACCATTATCTGATTTTATTTCGCAAGGGAGGAGAGGGAAGGGGAAAATTAAGTTTGGTACCAAATTTGTCAGCTAACCCTGCTTAAAATGTTTCAATTTAGGTAGCTTTATTTGAGAATATTTTTTTGGAAGGGACTACCTATTGAGAGCCTAAGTAGTGAGTGCATAGTACTGTATACCAATTTATTTCTGACTTTGGGTTGATGGCTAAGAAACAGAACCTAATTCAACATCCCTTAATCTAATTTTCCATAAAACATGCTGGCAAACGAAAACAGAAAAAAAGCCTTTTAAACCACTTTTTCCAATTGCTCAATATTTTCCAGAAGGTGCTTCAATGAACATGAAGGAAACATCTTCATATCAGTAAAAGATCTTAATCAGCACTTATTTAAAGACAAATTCTTTGATCTGGACATTCACAAAATTTGTGAAAAATGTGAAAGGGAGTCTTAAAGGTGGCGTTAAACTACAGATGATAATATAATTAAGAATGAGTTTAAATACATGTATTTCGTATTTGAATAACATTTTTCAAATTTTTCTTCACATGTTAGAAACTTGCTCAGTTTTTGAATCTGCCACATCATATCTATTTTTAGACAATATATGCTTACAATCACCCCTTTTCGTCAGAAAATTACTAACACTGAAAGTAAGTAGCTCAGATTGTTCTTTACCAGCTTTAGATAAATCAAATGTTTACTGTGTGGTTACTGAATTCTCTTTTGTATTGTAAATGTATTTTCTTTCTCTGATGAACTCAGTTGGATTACATTCCATTCAAGGATGTCTTAGATTAATTTGTTAAAGGCTTGCAGAGAATAAAACTATCATCAAAGGGTTTGGCAGTCCAGAGGTGTTCAGTGTCTGGCAGTCAATGCATACAGGACCTGTAATAAATCATGAAACCCAGAAAACATGAATGCTGAATATCACTTACCTATGAATAATCTTAACAGAAAATTACCACTTGAAGCACCAAGAGTTAATGAAAAAGAAACCTGAGTCCAACGGAGGAAGAACTTAGCTTTGTTGGTAAATAAAATGGTTGCCTAAAACCAAGCTAGCTTTACTTAATTTTGTGCTCAAGAAATGTTTTTAAAATTACCTATCAACTGTTTCACTCCTGTTGAATTTCTTCCTCCTCATCCTGGAGGTCTTTTTTTTCTTCTTCATTGTCCTTTTCTCCCTCATAAAATAACACAGGACCTCCTTCATAAATATCATGCAAAAATGTCCATGTCTCTTGTGACAGCTGCCCATTTTCAGAGTCTACAAAGAAACATTTTGAGGATGCAATGAGAATGTTCTTTTCTTTAAATACTAAAAGTATGAACCAAGTTCATGCACAGGTTTAGCTTGCAAATCTGTGGGGCATCCAACCAAGAAATCAAAATGTCTGAGGTTTGAATCTGCACTCAGGACTGGAATATATTTTTCAACCTTGCAAAAGATGTTCAAAATACTTCTTCATCAAAGTAAAATTTTTTTAAGCATGATAGTAGCTTGTTGGTACAAATCCTACAAGAACTTACTTGGTTTGAGTACTTTTGTGTTTCCCTTTAAAATAAATATATTGCTGTTGTCTATAGGGCCTGGAGGATCTGAGACAAGAAAAATCATTAGTACTAGCTATCTTATAGTAGCAATACTTTTAGTCTCCTCATGCTAGTTATTAAAACAGGTGCACTATGGCAATCTTTGAACCTAGCTGGTGTGACCACCCTCATCACACCTTTATCATAAGTGTCTGATGTTGAGACTTGGTGCCAATTTGACGCCTGACAAACAGTCAACTAAGGATAACAAAATCTATAACCTCTTGAACACCCTGAAAAGAAACTGTATTTGACAAAGATTGAGTTATGAGGTGATGAGGGTGACAATGTTAAATAAGTCATATGTACCATCTTCCTGTCCTTTTACAAACATTTCCCATAGTTTGAACCAACGCATACTGATGAAATACACATCCACATTTTCATTGGCTGGATACTCATGATTCAACTGAGGGGGAAAAAAAACTTTTTAGAAGAAGTAATTAGTAATAAAGTATGTAACTATAAAAGAGAGGCATATCACCATTAATGCATCTTCAAAAATGAACCTTTTCACTACCAGAACAGACCAAAGAGGAATTTCCCCTTACAGTATCAATCAGAAAGGTAAATAGAAGCACATAAGCATTAACTGGGGATTAATGATTCACTGAATGCAAAAATTAAGAAAAGAGTGTAGCAGAAAATGCAAAGAGGTTACTGATTTGTTCATATCTTGGAAGTAAAAGGGCCACAACTACATTTCACTAGACTAAGTCTATTTTTTACTATCCACTTCAATCTACTCCTTCATTGGCCATCCTTCTTCTTGTGCTATAGCTTCCAAGGAAATGTTCTACTTGTGGAATGGTTACTGTTATTCTTCTTGTTATAATGTTTTACTGATTGACGATCAGTATAATTATAAAAGAAAATACAAATGTGCAGCCTAGAATCTCAATACAAAGACGTTATTGACGCAGGGTTGAGATAAAAGAAATATCAAACAAACCCTCTTGAACATTTCCATTTCTCTTTGTCTTCTTCTTTCAAGGTCATCTAAGGCTTTCTGGCAAAATAACATGAAAAGGGTTAGTTATATTTCAGTACATAACCTTTTATAGAGCAACATAAGAGTCAAAATTTTTTGTGTTGATTTTAAAGTAAATGTCTTGCTTAAACATTTTACATTGAGTAAACTAGGTCTCAAGATATCAATTCTCTGTACCATCCTAGGCTTACAAACTGTACCTTGCAGTGTCTGCAGATGTTTAGCTTTGTAGCTGGGGGACCTCCACCAAACCTACACCAAGGCAAAGAAAATTCCCAATTAAAAGGAGACTACCATGAAAGTGTTTTAGTGAACTATTTGGTACAAAAATGTTTCTTTAGTTAGTAAACTTACCGGTTAACAAGATGCTTCCACACAGATTCTGGAAGTGGAACTGTAATGTCATGAATTTTCTCAAAGTTCAGTGGATGAACAGCTAGAAAAAACAGAAAATATGGTTGACAAGAACCACACACAATGTATGGAGAAGAACACTTTCAACCCACATGGTCAAGTACTATACTAATCACATCTTATCCTGGATATGGACAAAGAGAACTTTGCTACTCCCCCCTTGACTGGATTTCTGTCCATGTTACAACAATTTGGTACACTTCCAAGACAGTGTGTTAGTACTCATTCATACTCCTGGGTGAAAAGAGGCACTGTGACAGTGGAATGGACTGCCCAAGAACACAACATTGTGATCCAGGACAGGACTGAACCCTGACTTCTTGACTCCGGTGTGCATAGCACTAGGCTACCATGCTCTACAAGACTTCTTGACCCTGGTGTGCATAGCATTAGGCTACCATGCTCTACAAGACTATCCTTACTTCTACACTTTGCCATTGACTTTTTAACTACCGTGAGTGACCAAGACAGAACTTCTCATTACAATGTCACCCAGATAAGTGACGAGAATAAAGGAAAAAATATAAATTAGGGTATAATTAGTTGATCCAATACTAAATTCTCTGAGCTAACATTATAAGAATTGTATGCTTGACAGTAAGGAGAATTACAAATTTGATCAGGGAGTTAAAGGGTTAATATGGTAAACCTGACTTTGCATGAAGCAATTCTTACCTCCATGGCGACACAAATAATCAGAGTTTGTGATTGGACCTGCAAAAGTAGGATCCATAAAAATTTGTATATCCATGTACAGTTAGAACATTGTAAGGTGATGAAGTTTGTCCTTAATGACAGCCCTAAAAGTATCTTTGACAATTAAAAAAACCAGTTAAAATTTCCTTTCAAGCAATGCCTGTTCACTGAAGAAGTTTCATCTGATTATCTGTCAATTCTGTTGGGTTAAGAGGGCTTGTGTGTGTAAAGGGTAATCTTCATACAAAGAATAAAGTGCAGTTTTAGTAAGTACAGGGTCAGAAACAATTTTCACATTTAACATACATGTATCAATGATCTCATGCTCAATTACCTGGCTCCATACAAGACTGAAACTTTGTCAACCATTTCTTTGAAACAAAATACCTGGATTCATGGGTCTACGGAGTAAATAAAATAATAATAATAAAAAAACATGACAAATGAAAAGCTACTCTTTAGTAAAAGCTTCCAAACATTTCACTTAGTTATCTCCTTGTTGCAAAAGATTGGCTATGTAAAAAAAAAGGAATGGTGATTAAAAAGAAGAAAGGATGGCTATAAGGTCCACAGCCCTGACAGACTGGGTGGCTTAGTGTCAGGGAATAAAAATCATTTCTTAAAAAGAATACATGTATCATGTAATAAATTGTGTCTTCTTGACACAATCAAAAGAAAAAAGAGCATGTTCCTTCACCAAAGATCAGAAAAATATTTGGATTAGCAAAACAGAAATAATGCTTATGAGTAAGTGTGCAGCTGCAATACCTGAGCATCTTTCAGTAAATTGAAGAAAGTCTGTCGTTCTCTGGTGGCTTCGTCACTTGATTTCCTGTGAACAAAATTTAAAATCAAACCGACATATAAATTTCTACTTTCACAAGTTGTGTTCCACACCAAGGGTGACCACATTTTAAGAAACCAGATACATAATCATGAGTTTCCAAATAATTGCAATCATTGTGAAAAGGGGATATGCAGGAGTTAGTCAAGAGTGAGGCAAATCAGAAGTAAACTTTATTCCTAAGGGGCCAACACCCTTCTCTACCCTCCCTTTTTGCAGGATAGCCTGAGATATTCAACTAACCTGTAAAACAGCACATAGGCTTCCACATCAGCAACATATGAATCAGAAACTGAAATGAAAAAGTAAAGAAGTGTACTGTATCCAACTCTGTATTTCAACAAGACACAAAGCTAACAGCAAATTCATACAGCATTCTGTTTATATTATCAAATACAATGCTGGTGGGATTTACTTTCACCAACTCAGAATCATTAAACATGTGGTTTGAATCATTAGATCATACTGTATAACAAAGTTTATTTCTCTAATGCATGACTGACACATACCTTCACTGACCCAGGAGTCATTGAACTCGTACCATTTACCATTGATATAGTTTTTGGCAAAGGTAACATAATGTCCAGCTAGAAGAAGAAGAAAAATCATCCTTGTTAAAAAATTAATATAATTGTACCTACAATTAATCTAAAAGGAGGAAAATGAAAATTTAAGTAAAGCCAGACTTACATGTACTAAAAGTAAATTTAGTTTCCTTTCTATACTTAACCCTTTAACTCCCAAAATCTCATTAGTAATTCTCCCTACTGTCTGTAATACAGTTCTTGTGCTATTAGTTTGGAGAATTTGGTATTTGATCAACTAATAATCCCCTAATTGATATTTTTCTTTAATCTCATAACTTGTCTGCATAATATTGTATTGATATTTTAAGGAGAAATTCTGTCTTGGTTATTCATGGGAGTTAAAGGGTTAAGCCCCTAACCTCACCTACTGCCTACTACCTTAGATGCAAAAATGACTCACAAATGTGGCAATTAAGGTAAATTTCATAACATCAATTTACCTCCAACATTGCCATGATGTGTGATAATGGCAACAAGATCATAAGTGGTACACCTCTGGGTTGGATCCTGTTTATGAAAATCTGAAAGGGGAAAAAAGTTTTTGCTTTGTGATTTGATAAGAACTTTGTATGAACTGGAAAATGTCCATCACAACTGCTATTCAACTACAGCTTCTTCATGAGGTTTTTAACAATCATTCTGTTCTAACTAAACCATGGATGTGTGTCTTGGTGTCTGCTGATGTTTCCGCAAATTAACAACATTGAAGATTCCACTACAACACATGAAACTTAAGTCAAGACTTTACATAAGTTGACATCATATTCTGTACCTTTAACCAAAAATGGTTTCATGTCCAATCCAGTCAATGGGAATGAAATAAAGTGATTTATTTTTGAAGAGAAGTACATTTCATGTTTAAAACGCTTCAGATGAATGCACAAAATCTACAAATTTAAGAAGATAAAACAAAGCAGTGAGCAAATTAATTCAAAACATCTACAGTATAGTAAATCATTTGATACAATTCAAAATTATGTTATTCTTTGGCATCAATAAGAAATGCTAGACTTACTTCAGGAAGGCGCATTACTTTACAAAGTTTGACACCATTTCTCAGCCTGAAATGTAAAATTAGCAGTGGGAGACTGAAGTTTGAGGTTTGGAGCAACCAAATTTACACTTATTGATAACTACAGACAGATTTTTCTGACCATGAACATTACTTATTTTCATTTCTTATGAAAGATTCCAGTTTATAAACCAGTTGAAAGAAATTAATTAGCTTCAGAACATATACTGAGTAATAATGATTGCTTTGAACATTGGTGTAAAAGTTGTCAGGCAGGTAGTTATAAAATAAATAGTCTGTATGAGAGCAGTCCTAAGGATACTTGACAAAAGTAATGACTGACATTCAAACATTGGAGCCAAAGTCATTATTGGAGTCACTTGACTCTGATGATGACTTCTGCTTAGGCTGTTAAAACTCCAGTCATTGTTACCCACAAGTCCTTTCTACACCTCTCTCACTCAGACAATCAGATTACCTTAAATCTATTGCTACTACTTTACATAAAGCTGTGCAAACTGTAGGGATGAATTGACATGTTAACTTTCTAAAATTATGCCATGTTAAACAAATTAATGTTATGCGGGAAGTTTTATACTGTACAGTTGTAATAAGATTAAGGAAAATCATTCTTTGAAGCAAACGTACTTTTTGCACTTTTCACAGCTGTACATGTTATCTCCTGTAAAAAAAAAAATGATGGTGAGCAATGAGATGGGTTTAAATTACCATATTAAGTGAATTTTTTCTCTGAAAGGGAGCTCCCTTAAACTTTGGAATAGGAGATTATTTATTGTAAGGGTACAAAATACATTAAAAAGAAGACCACGCAGACTTTTGAAATGCAAAATTTTGAGTAAGAAATTTGAGCAAAATTTCAGAACACCAAGTTTGCAATGGTGCTACCTAGAGCTACTGTGAAGAATTTCAAATCAATGCAGAAGATGTTATTATATATGCGATTACGAAAACCCTCTTGTACATCAAACACATCTGGTTAATAACTGAGATAGGATGCAGTACGATTTTGGAAATTTGTGAACAAAACTGACAACAAACTGACATAATAAAGATGAGAACTTTATTTTGGGTCCAAATCGCCAGCATGCAATGTACACTAAATGTAACCATAATTAATTATCTAGCAATTAATGAGAATATGAGGCATGTGTCCATGTGTAGACAAACCTTTTAATTCGTCTGCTGAAAAAAATGCTGACAAGCAGTCTGAAAGTGTGACTTGTGGACCTAAAAACCAGCTACAGATAACAAACAGCACAAATTTATCAGATAATAACTTACTAGGAGTGAGTCGCTACTGGCACAGTTAGTAGTAAACATTTAACAGAGGCGAAACAATTTTATAACCCGGTAAACTTTGAATTTTCAATGTTCCTTGGTCCTGGTAATTAAACATCAGGGTTACATGACAAAGAAAAATGGTTATTAATCTACTGGGGAAATATTTAGGGAAATTGGCTGTCAGTACATCAGTCAGTCAGTCAGTCAGTCAGACAATTTATTTGTCAGACAGTCCTTGATACATGGTGTAGCATACAATTAGGAGGTGATGGCCAATTCTACAATTCTCTCTACTGCACCTTCTCAGCCATTCAAGTAATGTTGACATCCAGCTTTTATCCTGATCTCTGTCTATAACAGATGAGCATGATGCTAAAGGTGTGCATTGTGAAGCATGAAGAACTGTCAGCTCATCTTTGCCTGTGAAAAAATAAGTGTTTCTTAGACTTAGAAAAACCTTGTACATGCACATCTGCATGTTACAACATGAATACTTATTAATTAATTGTTGTGTGATTTAAAAACAAAAAGAAGGGAACTTAAAATATTTCTTCTTGTGGATATGATAGGGAAAATGTTTTGTTACCTGGAATTGGTAGTGAAACATCTTGAAATGTTTCTGCCCTTGATGAAACCTATAAATATAAGATTACTCAGTGAGCTTTGTCTCAATCATTTCTCCTCCTTCTCATCTGCCAAAAAGCCACCACAAGACCTCCCCTCTCCTCCTTTCCCAGTGAAGTTCTGCCCATGCAAACTTACAGAATAGAAAATGGCAAGTTGCCTTCCTAAGTGATCAAAAATTGATTCCCAACCTTGTCTAATAAAAACATTTTGCAGCAATATAGACATAAACACAGAATTTGTACAACACATAAAAAAGTGTGCTCCTCGATAGAACACGGACATCATAATACAAGTAATGCTCTAATATCAATACACATTTTTAATCACAGTAAATTACTGTAAAATATTAGAGAAATGTACTTTAGTACCCTGTGACAAGTAAGGCACTGCACTGAACTCTGTATTGTGCCATCAAATAGGTCAGTCACTATACTGCTGTAGTTCAAAGGTACTTTCTTCTTTTTCTTCCCTATGATAAAAAAAAGAGTTTGATAAGTCTATAGAATTTTACTTCAAATATTCCATTAGTACTAAGATTTAAAAATTAAAAGAAGACATATCTCAAGCCTTAACAGATTAACAATGCATCTTATGGAACTATTTCTCTAAGCATAGAAGGGGTATGTTTCTCAGAAACTGTGATGCTGCATCAGTGGGTGACAAGATAGTTTGCTTTTATCAACTGAGTTGATTATAAAAATTGGCTACTGTAGAGAGTATCTTAAGCTTTAGAAACTCACACTTACATTATACCTCCACAAAGGTTGAATAAAAAGCCATTTCTAGGGGCTAGTAATTACACAGTGCAAAGTCACTCCAAGTACAGGAGCTAACATCTCAGTATTGTGAGCTGTATTACATTTAATGAACACATATGATATGAACTTGCCAAACCAGACCAGACCAAGGGGACACTGCACAATTGAATATCTTACTTCTTTCAGCTATTTGCTCCCTTTTGGCTCTTTCCTGATGAGATGGCTGCTTCATATGCTCCTTTGTGCCTGAATCTACAGGCTTTTCTTCTTTGATTAATGCAACATCCTCACTGTCCATGTTTTCATCAACTTGATAAGGATGCTCTGTTTCACCATTACTCATTGTCTCACCCTCGACAGACACGGTCACATCATTATCATCCACAGGATCTGTGTTAGTCTTCCTGCGCTTGGATTTGGAGGCCCCATTAGACTCCATATCCTGGTCAGCCTGCTCTTCTGCTGTGTCAACATGAAGTGGTTTGTCATTCGTGACATCATCACCACTGTCTGAATACATGTCCACATCACCATCATCTATAAGAAATAATACTATCCCCTTAGTTTGAGCTCAGAAAAGAAAATTAATCTTTCCACCCCCAAATTCTCATTAGCAATTCCCCTTAATATCTTCCATACAATTCTCGTCATGTTAGTTCTGAGAATTTGGTATTGGATCAACCAATAATTCCCTAATTGATTTTTTCCTAAATCCTCAATAGGTGTCTGTTGACTTTTTATTGATATTGTTAGGAGAAATTCTGCCTGGGTCACTAAAGGGAGTTAAATGATTAAGAGAAGATAGTGCTGCCAATGAAGACAGATTAGGAGATTATACAAGTTTGATGTAATGAAATATTTGTCCAAATTTTCTGTGTTTGTTGCTTACAGTCTATTTTTATCTTTTATAACACTTTTAAACTCTCTCAGTCTATCATTTTTTTGTTTTTCTGTCTCCACAGACAGATACTGTACAGTGATATTTGCAAATCTCTTCCACTAATGAACATTGCCCTTTGATTGCAGTGACTGACTAGCATCTAATCCTCCTTAAAATATCACCCCTGCCTCACACATTAAGGTCACAAGAAAAATGGAAATCATCACCAACCAAAGAAGCTCTTGATTGTTATACAAAGTCTCTTTGGTTAGCACCTCAGGAAACGTATAGTGAACAGTTAATAGAATAAGCATACTGATGTTATGTGTAAAAGGTTAAGCATCATGTACCATCTTGCAGGTTTTCAGTGTGAGACAGGCTTGTTCCCCCTAGCAATCTTTTGTTCTGATGGTTTGGTTCTTCATCATCACTTTCTGAGGAATCTGGGTCAGTTGTCAGTGACAGCAAAGGCTGCCTCATCTCCTCATGTAACTGATCCATGATGCAGCGTAGGAATTCCTGAGCATCCTAAGATAAACAATGCAACAAACAAAAGATCTTGGTCTCACCCATAAAAAAGATTTAACAACTCTGAGTACTTGTGGTTGATACAACTATGGTATAATCCTTCCAGTAACAACTGTAGGAGACAAAGGTAAGTTAAAAGTTCCTAGGAAGTTTTTTATCAGTCTTTGATCCTCAAAAGAATCAAGGATCAAAACTTACAAGTGCATCCAGTATTGAAACAGTACAGATTTGTTGGAGAATTTTCAAGGCTGTACATAAAATTTTGAGTACAGTTCTGAGACTTTGAACAGCAAGAAAAATTAAAGGAACTTTAAAAGTAATTAATTTTTAAAAAACACAGATCTCACCTGTTGCCCATAACCTCTGAACTGTGAGTTGATCTGCCGAACACTACGAAGCAGCTGGGATGGCACAACATATCTTGGTCTAAATAAAGTAAAATGTTTGTTGCAGAGAGCAGTCATAAAACAAACACAAAAAGACCTATACATTAATCTTCAATTTCAGCAATTATCACCAACTTCATCTACTTGATGAGTGAGCTAAAAATTAAACAAAATATCAGCATTTCACTTCCTACAATATTCTGAATTTATATGAACTAAATAATAATACCTTTTCCTAGACCATAATTCATCAACTAGAAGTGAATAATGTTTGCAGACAGAAGAGTTCTTTGTTTCTTTCACAAAGCTCCCACATTCCAAGAAGTATTGAGTTAGGGGTGGACTGTAAAAAAAAAAGAAAATCCACATCTTCAAATAGTAAATACAAAATGAAAAAAAGGTGCATTAGTTTTGATAAATGTGACCAGAACCTAGTATACATGAGAACACATTCCTAAGGGAGAAGCCTCTAAACAATTATTAAGCCTTCATAACAGAATGGAGAGCATGTTTTTATATATTTTTCCATAAATAATGACAAAGTCACACCTCTTAAGAGCACACAACCTCAGGAGCAATTTGCAGTCCGTAAGAGAGAGTCTTTGATAAAAAGTGTAAGGAAAAGCCTCCTTTGGGTCAAATTGACCCAAATTGTTTAATATCTCATTTTGAAAGATTGTGTGAGTTAAGTTATAATAGAAAATCAAGTTGCGCATAAAATTCAATCCATGATTGTGTCTAATCATCAGCAAAGAGGCTGTAAACTATAAAAATTATCCTGATGAAAACAGATAAAACTTAACCCTTTAAACCCTAAGATTGACCAGCATCTAATTTCTCCATACAGTAATACTGCTAAACCATTCATTAAGATCATGAGAAAATAGAAAATGATCGCCAACTTACGCAGCTTTGATTTTCAAATAAATTCTCCTTGTCAATGGCAAAAGAAACGTATGGAGAAGAGTATAGAGAATATGGATACTGATATTAGGGTGTAAAGGGTTAATTAAACTGCATCATACACAACTTCATAAGAACACAACCATACCAGTTTGATAGAGCTTGAAGAGCCGCATTCATGTAACAAGTGTTTCCAAGGTTTGACAAGCCACATAACCCTGATAAAGCAGAATAATTAACAATTTGTTTAATCACAGAATTTATCTAAGGCATAAGTACGGATGTACATAGCCTATGCAGACAAAGGTGTACATGTTTCTTTAAATCGACAGCAGAGTAGCATCCTCCATAAGAAATTGAGGGAAAACATTTTCTAGGCCAAATTTTCAATCTCCTCTGACATTATACCAGAACATCACATTCACTGTACATGAAGATGTGTTATTTATTTTATCCTACAGCTATAACTGTGACAAAAAAATTCCAAAAGAATAGTTTATTTCTTTCCCCTGGCATATTCACAATAAAACTAGTTTGAATGAATTAAGTTGAATGTAACTTCACTGTTAAAAGCTCATATACTTTTTTTTACAAAAGGATACTGTAACAACTTTTAGTACAAGCTGTTAATGACTCAAATGGGTCAGTGTCTTTAGACAGGTGTTTTTTGATTTGCACTCAAATAAAATATTAATAGTCTTCTCACCTCTTGGCTTTAAACCTTTCTCCAATTCTAGAGCATCTTCCATATCCAAAACCTCATGAGTCTAAAGCAAATAAAAGAAAAAAGCATTTTGGAACCCATAACGAATGGAATATGTTTTCAAAGAGTAAACTGCTGCCCTTATCTAGTGGAGGGTGTGTGCATCAGGTTTGCAACTTCCAGACCAATAATCATGACTTGATCAATCCTTTATTCCCCCAATTGGCCAATTTTTTCAGTTTTACTTTGAATATTCATCGCAATAAATTTCTCTCTACTACATGGTCATTGTCAGTGACAACTTTGATTTGATTTGACAGTCAATCAAAAAGTGTACTATATGATAAAAACAAAAAACCAACCTGCAGTTTCAAGAGTTAGAGCGTTAGCCCCTCATCAGAGAGATTGACAAAGGGCTAATACTCGAAACACCAGCTTTTTAACTCTTTACCATAACCAATTTATGTCATCAACTCAGTTAATAATAACAAATTACCCTGTTATACTCTCCCACCAATGCAACACCAGCAAGGCTATTACCCCCTTTATTCATATTTACAATACCTTTGGTCTTGAAGGACTAGTTCCGTCAGTACTACCTGCAGAGCTATCAGATGGCTGCACTTCAGCCTGGCAGCTAAAACACCACATTTTAAAATCTTGAAGTTGTAAGCACAAGTGGTGATTGGTTTCCTGTAGACCGCAAAAGATTGTCATTAAATTTTAAGTAGTATCCTGGAAATGAAAAGCATGGCTTTGGGGCATGTGATAGGCTGCTGGTGGTCTTGTTGGAATCCATCAGAGAATCTAACAGCTGGTTTCACCATTTAAGCCCCTAGAGTGACCAATGCTTAATTTCTCCCTTCTGTGTCAGCATATTATCAAACAAATACCTAGAGGTTCAAGGAACTAGTCACTAAAGAGAATTTGTGTTGATCTTGAGCAAACTCTTGCTGTTGCAGTTGTTAGTGATGAGGATAATCATGTTAAAGGTGGGTCCTAAGGAGTTATGTGAAATCTGCAACACCATAGGGCATTGTGGGAGGCTGTAGCCTTGCTGCTCTCAGTCATTCATATATCAACAAAAGTCTCTATTTGGCACAAAAATATGCACAGATATTAAATATCTGTGCATATTTTTGTGGACAAACTTTGTCCGCATACATTATCTGTTCAAAGATGCAAACTGTGAGCTTCAAGGAACAGATAATGTCCAAGGATAAATATATGAGCATATTTTCCCACAAAATAGAGGCTATTGTGTTTATCATCCTTCAAATATTTTGCAACACACATTTGAAAATATTTACAAACAGCTCACTGTTTGCTTCGTGGGATGTTTTCTCGCTTCTTCTGTAACAACCGTGAAATGTTCTCTCTTTTTTAATTAAATTTTGAATGAAGACTTATAGCAGATGTAAGGTTTGAAAATCAGGGATCACAAATATTTGATGGATCATAAAGACCACTATCCTAAAGTGATCAGAATGAGTATTAACTGAAGTCACACATTTCTGTGAACTATTTCATCAAAATGCAGCACAACCCACAGCCATATTTGATCCATAACAGGAAGTAAAATGCCCATAGGAGGTTAGGTTGTTAAAGCATTTACATAGCCAATAAGGGAAGGGACTCTCATGTCAAAAGTATGATAAACAACCTCCATCCAGAATATAAAAGGTGTGAGGTATTTCTCTTATTTTTTAAGCTAGGAGCTTTCAAAGCTCACTTTACCTGATTGTGAAGCTCAATGTGATTGCTACCAAATCGCCCACACCCTACAAAGGAACAACACTTCTGAAAGGAAAGAATAGTATGACACTAGTTAATAAATAACTAGGTACACATATTGTGATGCTAAGTACATAGATGGAGAAATTACAAATTTTTAGCGCTCTAGTTCTTCTCATTAATTCAAACTTTCAAAGCCCTTATTCCTAAAATTATAATTACCAGAACTTCTACAAACACTACCTAGTCTCTCAATGTTAATCAATCTTCTTAGTGAAATAATTTATAAAAAGGGCCAGTACAACTGAGACCCTAATAAACGTATAAATAATATTGTTTGAAAGATTATTAACAAACCTGCAAGCAGACCCACAAATCTGATCCTGACTTTTCACAATTATCACAACTCCCCTAAGCAAACAGAAATACAGTAATATTAAAAAAAGAGTTCATGACAGGCAGAGGTGTCAATAGACACAAGGGAATATGTTATTCAAGTGATGTGGTCCAAAACTTTAACTCACTAACTGGCCATGTAACTGAATGAATTGACCCCTTTCACTCCCAGAGGTGACCAATGGAATTTTTCCACACAATACCACTACATTTCTCAGCAGAATGGTGATGTGAAGAAACAAGAATGTTACAAGGGGGAATATTTTTATTTAAAACCAAACCAGCTGGAGTGCACATTCTAAGGAAAGTTCTGTGAACAATTGGTTCTTAGAACTTGGACATGAAAGGGTTAACTGACAGCTAATTGGCCAACCAACTGATAATATGACTAACTCACTCACTACACATCAAATGACTGACTAACCAATTATTTACCAATCATACCAGATCATTGCTTACAATAAAAAAAAATTGAAAAGCTTGTGTTACCCAGCCACATGTAGTTTTAAGTCCACATCTAATGGCTGACTTACTGATGATCTAAACTGCTTCTGATACACAGCAAATGGTACAGCTGCTTTAAAAAGTGTCTTTAAGATGTTTTAAACACCACAACTAGACACAATTTTGACAAAATATGTTTACATACATGTAGAGTCTATATAGAGAGATTCCATTCTAGTTTCTTGTGAACAGCTGCTTATAAAGATATATTCAAGAGATCCAAACACAAAGTATAAATACACTGCTCATTGCATATAACAATTCAGCATCAGGATATGTCCACTTTTGGAAAAAATTGTTGCTAAGTCATGTCATATATTTGTTAAAAACTTTAACAGACCAATTCACAAAATAAACTTAATAAAGTGTATTTGAAATTTGTTACTAAGTTTTCCACTCTAAGCTAACCATGTCATCATTGTCATGATTATAACTGAAATTTATGAAACCAAAAATAAATTATCTCACAAAACACAGAACAAATATTTGTTGAAAACGTTTCCTCAAAATTTCAATATCCTCTAAATCCTTTCCTTTAGTTGTCTTAACTTTTTCATGAAACTTCCTGTATGCAAATTCTAAGTGACTCTTGCAGTGTGTAATAGATTTCAAAATGAAAAAATTACTTCACATTTAACTTAGCAGATATAATATCTACCTTATGTTAAGGGAGAATTTCCTAATAGACAAATTATCTCTCCTCAAAATGAGTATAAAAGTATGTCAAACTTGAGCACAAACTTCTTTTACCCACACATGTGTAGGTAATGTAAACAACTATTACACACAAGCAGTGAAAAAAAGTCTCTGTAACTGAATGTTATGAAAATAGCTTTGCCTTCCTCTTAAAAAAATGCATCCACTTCCATTAAATCAATTAATCCATTGTATTTTTAAGCTACTTTGTGCTCATAGACTGCAAACATCTCCATGATTTGTTTTCCAAAAAAATTATTGATGCAAAATACTCTTCATACATTGTTAACAAAGCTTTTCCTATTCTCTACCAGATGGGCCTTAACAAATAACAAAGAAACATTCTATTTCAAATTTGCATTCTCTACAAACATTGTTAACAAAGCTTTTACCATTCTCTACCAGATGGGCCTTAACAAACAGCAAAGAAAAATTCTAATTCATACTTGCAATGTACTATTAAGTAAGTTACTCGTTGATTCTTTGATTTTCATTTTGTTGCTGATTCAAAATGATGAAGAGTTCCCCATAACGCTTAAACTGTGTATGACATTAGCCTTGAATAATGTATCTGCACAGCAGATAATTCCTTGTAAACAGCTTAAGAGTAAGTAGCCATCCAAACAGCTGCATTCATCCCAACAAAAAATAAGACCTATCCATCAAAATCCATGACATATTTCTTTAGACAGAGTAGAAAAACTCACCGTTTTTTTCAAATATTTACTTTAATAACAAATGACACGAGAAGTTCTTCATTTTATAATGGACTTCATATTTGCAAAATAACAGGAACACACATTTTATCAAAAATAGATTACTCGTAAACGGATTAACTTAAACCCACGCATAAGATATTTCTTTTGCAGTTTCTTAATAACTAAGTAAGAATCCGTTTCTAAAAAAAACTTTTGTTATTTACCCAGACGAAGCATAAATTACCACATCGATCCGTACTCAAGTGATAAACATCCATTCATAATAAGTATGAGAGCTTCCTTACCTCTTTCATTTTCCTTTTAATCGCTTCCACATTTACTTCATCGGTAGAGTTCAAATGAAGACAAGACGGCATCTTCTTGAAAGCTACAGCCACAAAATGTCTTCCAAAGAGGAAAGTTTGCAGAGCATGAATCGGCGCGTGAAGAATACGGGTCAAGAGAACAGGAAGTATGAACAACACTTTGCCTGTGTCGCGTTGAAAACTCTTCAGCAAACCAAGCCTCCCCCTCTTGGTTTCGATTTGCTGTCCCAAAAGTCTCAATGCCCGCAAAGAGCCAGCTTTTTCTATTTTTTCCTCACATATTGTCTCATTCAATCGAAACCGTCTCGCTTTGAGTACTTAGTGACAACAGAACCGAACAGAAATAGCTAGTTTCTTGTGGATGTTCACGTCCTACATCAGAAGATCAGAATTTCTTAATGTCTTAAAAACTATTCAAATTAATGTACGACAGGACTCTAACGTTTACAGCTCACCCGACGACAAGTTTTGATCAGGAAGATCACTGACTCAGAGAGAAATTTGGTCCGCCATGTTTTTTTTCGACTGACTCATGGATCCCACAATACACTTCGGTATTTTGGTTTTTCTTGGCAATATACCCTGGGTCACCCACGCCCCCTCTCCCCGGGATAAAAAGATCACCAGCCCAGCTCTCTTTGGAGGGGAGCCTATTCTAAGCCCTCGGTTGGTGAAAACGAGTGAGAACGCGGGCACACACAAACCGGCATGGGTTGAACAAAGGAAAACGATTGAGTTTATTTCTTTTGCAATTGTCATAACCCATTTGCCCCTAGGCCGCTCTCTCGTTCGTCTCCATAGTCTGGGAGATAGTAGATAATATTCACTAGCTAATAAATAACATGAAGTCAATAAATCCTTCAAACCTCTCTTAAGGGTGATAATCTTTTTTCAAAAGATATAAAAAAAATCGATCTCCCTGATTAGCTGCCTCTATACTACGCTGTAGTCTTGTATCCAAATCCGCAGAAGTAATGGAGAAGATGATTACCAACTCGCAAAAGTATTTGTCCTATCGGTTTATTTTGATGAATCTGTTTCTGATCTCGTTTCTTATTCATTAGCTCTGATGTTGTTTCTGTTATGTCCTTGGGCCTGTTTACGACATAAGAAGTTACGGTGAAGTACAGTGTGTATCAAGGGATATGGAGGGTATCCCCTGAATTCAGACAGAACCGTCCGAAAAAAGACGGAATAATCGGAAATCGGACAGAAGAACCTGATATCAAACGAAACCATGTAACAAGGTCGAAACCGTCTGAAATTAGACAGAATCATCCGCAAGTTCACGGTACCATCGAGACATTTTATGGATTCATCAGGACGGAGCCCATTTCGTTTTAAGAAAATTGGAAAATCATTTGGAAACAAATTATATTTTTTTTCGCTTTACGTTGAAATACTCTACAATGAAATTTCGTCAATCATCATTTTCTTCGAGTGTCTTAAAGCACCTTTTATTGAAGCATTTGTCCATTATTATAATTTTTTCTCTATAAAAGTAATAAAAGTATTTCGCTTGAAGTGCATACTTACATATAAAAGAGCTTTTCCACGATTAATAAACTTTACATCTCAAATAATTTCACATGGAATATTTCCTTCACTATAAGTTGGTTAAAACTTTAAATACGTTCATATTATAATTTTGAACTGTTTTGAAATATTTAACTCTGAATTAATAGGAATATAGCGACGAGAAGAGATGATAGATTACTCCAAAAGTCTTCCTTGGGTAACTAATATAAATAAAAGCAGAGTCAACTCATCATGAGTAAAACTCAGATGGGGAAGGATAGGACAAAAGAAGGAGGATTTTCGAATTTCTCAAGTTGTACCAATACGCAAGTTTGTTCCAATTTTCTACGAAGGGAGTATTTTTCGCAAGGTCTTTAGCAAGCAATTTTCATCCAGAGGACAACGTTTAGAAGAGAATCCAATGATTTTCTCTGGCTAACTATGTTACTTTCTATGGAGGTTTCCACGCAATTTTCCCCTTACATGAATCGTTTTGGGTTTCGTTCAGCATCCTTGACTAACTTAATTATGATTCCTAATGGTCACACCACACCCCCACCCCTACCATTGACAATACAGTTAGCGTTTCCACAGAAATGTCTTTTTACTCTTCTTGTGGCTGACATTCGTCTTGTGTTACGTCTGAGTTGTCGTCCTTTTCGATAGTTTCCTTTTCTTCCCAGCGAGGTACAACTTCTACCTCCACCCGATCGTCTTTCTCATCAGATTCTTTCCGCGGTACTTTGTTCCAGTAATTTCGCCGTCTCCCCTGATGTTTTCGGTCAAGAAGACGTTTCTGTCTCGCCAGCTCCGGGAAATAGTCTACCACAAAAGAAAAAAAACAAAACACACACACACACATCATAGATCATTTTAGTGAAATATTACCCTATGCCATCGTTTCTTATGTACACGAAGTGGAATGAGCACTTTGAAAGTGCTCGTTTCTTTTATCCTTGTGTCATGTAGTGATGTTACCTTTAAATTGTTTTTACGCTATCATATTTTCATAATCGTCCTAACTTAATCATAGCAACTTTGTAGCAAGTGATGGTGTCATGGGCGTTATTATTGTATCGCTTTGCCTTCTTACCAGTATCATCATGTTGTCATATCAGAACACTATCGTGTTATCTCATGACCATTTTATCACGTTACCATATAAATAATTAAAAACTGGATCATTGGATAATGCAATTCAAGAGTTTTCGTTGGCTTAGCCATCAAAGGGTTAGGAGTCAAACCTGATTTACATTTGGGGCATTTTTAATAAAACAATTGTTCCACTCGCGCTTGTTGGATATGAGGTAATAATAGCCAACTCAGCCCTAGAGGCCTCATTGGCTATCTATCATCTCATATCCAAAGCGCGCTTGTGGAATAGTTGTTTATTATAATGTGAACAGGTCATCTTCATTTTACCACGTTACCATGCTAATTTCCACTATGCCATCGCCATGTTACCAAGTTACAGGGATGTTCTTTGGCCATTATGTTATCAATGTTAGGTCACCGTTTCACCACTTTTCCCATCATGTTATTATGCTACAATGTTACCACTATTTTCATCAAGTAACAATTTTTATCATCATGTTATCAAATGACGATATTCATTAAAAGTACTCACGAGATGTCAAAGCATCTTTTGCTGCCGCCATTTCTGCTTGTTGAATACTAAAGGGAAATGAAGAGAACACGTGTCAGAGTTTACCAAAAATTCGGTAAAATATATGTGAGATTTGAAAAAGAGCTTATGTGTTGGACTGAAAATTAAGATAAGTGCAACATTCAAGACGTGTAATGATGATTCGTCTCTCAGAAGGAGGAAATTAGATGATGGAACATTCGAAATGGAACACTTCTCTAAGGTGGGGCAAATAAACAATTAAACAAGGGTAAAGAAATTCTAAAAAAGGAACGAGACAAGGTTGATTTATAGATGTACAGCATAATCGTGTCGGTAACTTAAGCAGATCCGGTTACATTCAGAGTGAAAAAAAGAAAATTCTCTCTAAGCTGTTGATATGTTTTGAAAAAAGAAGCGAGAAGTGAAGAATTTACCAAAAGATGTTTCTCAACTGAAAAAATCCCACGAAACCACTGGAAGACCTATAACACTACTTGTCAACGAAAGCTGTACAGATTGGCTGGAAACAGTTAAATTATACTACGAATACCTCTTGCCTTCGCCAGAACCCATTCTTCTTCCTTTGTAGTAAACAGCAACTGAGGAAGAAGACAAAAAAAAATTCCGCTTTTTTAAAGAAAGGTATGCTGTTAGCAAAATTAAGACTGGACATTTTCGATTAACCAGCAATTAATCACATTATAAGAACTGTTTGATCAATTATCAATAAAGAAAACCTTCTGGTCTACAATCTATTTGAGAAACAATGAGGCGCCACAACGCCGTTGTTTTCATCTACATTATACTGATTCTATTCCATAAGAATTAAGTGTGAATCACTCACTTAACATTACGAATGGATCAGAAATTCCTAAAACAATATACCCTTCCGAATTTGCTCGTTCTAGAGGGGCGGAAAATGGGTAATAGCTCTTTCCATAAATCGATAAGCTGACACGTTAGATTTTTCATTCCACGATCAACGCCCAAAATTTTAGTTTTTTTCCCATGCAAAGGGGTTTGTTTGAGGTGGTTTTACTGTTAAAAGGTGATTTGTAATTTAGGCTATTCTATTTTTGACCTACCTAAATGATATCATGGCTACGCGGTTGATGCGAATCCTAGTGTTTGTTAGAGTTTGCTGGATTTGATTTCAATTCAAACTTACCTGTATAACGTTTATGATGAGCAGGACCCTTGTTCTGTAAAACTCTTCAAGGAGAAAAGGGAAAATATCAATAATCAAAACATGTTTCAAATTACAAATCTCATTTCCTTGGCTGAAAAACTCAAGCTTAATAAAACTCTGTAAGATTACTCTTCCAGCTCTCGGTTAGTTGAGACAAAACAGGCCTACAAAAGAGGTGGTTGTCTGATCTTCTTAGACACCTACTACTTTCATTGACACTATCAATAATTTTCCGCTTGCATCCATCGACTGAAATAATGGTAGAGCCTAAGAATGCTCATTCAGCGGTGGTCATGGTTTTAATACTCGGTCACCGATTTCGAGAAAGGTCTACCCAGGGAGCCCAAAGAAACGGTGCGACTGTTCTCATATTTAGAGATAGAATTTTATGGAAAGGCTTTGTGTTATCGTATTAAATTGCGGCGAAAATTCTCATTCAACATAAAAATAAACGTACCAAGTATGTTGCATATCGTCGGGTTTTTTTGGTTTAAGAGGGCAAAATTTTAGTGGTTCAGTACTTGACATTCATCAGAGAGTATAGAGGAACCCTTCATAACTTTCGTTAAGGAAAAGTCAGTATACAACATACTTGTGGATTCTATCAAAGAAAATCCTCCATGGGAATGTTTCACTCACTTGTATTGTGGAAGATCAGGTGTTTTTCCTAGCTCGCGAGAAGTCAGACAACACTGCTGCAACTGTGATTTGGCATCCATCCAGTCTTGATTAATGATAGACTCCTAGAGAAACAACAGAACGGATTGGCTGCACAGTTACATTTTTCGAATAAAATACGAGAAACAAAGCGTAAGAAAAAGGTTCCATGTTTTTTCTTTAGAACCCTAAATTAAGTTGATTTCTTTAAGCCACACTATAAAGCCACTATATAGCCGCGGTGAACTACAAATCCAACGATAATAAAAGGTACTGTAGCAAGACACCAAAGGTGGGTTAAAAAAGGGCACTCGAGCCAAGTAGACCACAAGGCGCCGCAGGTTACTCCGGTCTTTGTAGCACGAAGTGACAAGTAACATGACGTCAGGTACTTTCATTTAGCCATTCGTGGATGTCACCAATAGTTGGTTGACACGTTTTTCATCCCTAGAACGAGGCTGTTTACAACGGCCAAGCAGACCAGAGATAAATATCACAAGGAGCCAACTGAAAGTGGAGTAAAACAGGCAATCTACCTCAAATACGGGTTGGTTTAGTTTTGGATTTGATTGGTTGTGAGAGTGTCGTGAGTTTTCTGGACTAATCACAGAGCAAAGTCGTGTAAAAACCAATGCACTCCCGCGTCAAATTCAATAGCCAATCAGAATCTGCAATAATGTTAACAACTACACCGCTAATTCTAATCCTTAGGAAATCATCAAATACCAGAAAGCGCTATTGATCTCGTTTTCAGGGTAGATGTCGTTGGAAAACCTGACCCAAAATGGCTCTCGAGCAAAACAAGACTGGAAAGTTTGTTTACCTCGAGCCGTGGGAAGAGACAGACATAGCAAAACGTTTCCACGTATCTTAAACCTTTATCCACGTACAGGGCAGCAACAAAAGCTATAAAAAAAAATTTTAAAAAAAACAAGAAAGTAGTGTAAGAAAAGACTGGAACAATACCTTGTTGAATAAATCTGAAAATAATTTACCTTCCAGTATATCTGCAAGAAGCTTCTCCCGAAAAGACTTCATTCCCTGGTGTTTGAAACACAGTAATAGGACATTAAACAAGACGAGAAACATCCTCGGTTGGAATGTTTTTACAGCAAGGACAGGTGAAACAAAAACGGATCACCTTAACAGGTAATTTCATGCTCGGAGCTGAAAAGGGAAATTTTAGCAACTTTGAGTCTAAACGCTCAAAGATACCTCAACTTAAAATCAAAGCCGTAACACAATTATTATCATGTATAACATAAACATGAGATCCTTGCACATTAAGAGAGTCTTGAGGAGCAACACATGACCATCATTTTGCTAATTCACTGAAGTGAACATAGTGTGCCACTAATGGAATAAGGAAACACTGTTAGGGTCTTATAGACACCTGGTTTCCAAAGTTTATCAGCTTGTCCAGTCCCAGCTCACGCGCGATCGCTGCTTGTATTCGATGATTGACGAGAGAGCTGCGTAGCAACTGAAAATAAAGAAAGAAATAGCAAATTTTCAACGAAAAAAATAAACTGGAGAGCAGTTAGGTCAAGTTTAACTTGAGATTTTTGACCTTGATGGTATGATCAGAAACATTTTCTCGTGATTTTGCGGATCGACACCTTCGCATGTTCAGTTGTAACGTTTTGGTAAAGAGTAGTCCCTAAGTGCCTCTTCTGTTCAAGCCCTACCGTTAGATGTCCCTCGTGGTGTTCAGGGAAGTGCTTGAAGAGATACACAGACACGACGAACTGCAAAACAGAGTCACCCAAGAATTCCATACGCTGGTTGCTGCCACTGAAAACAAACCATAAATGTGTTACAAAACGATTACAACACTGCCTAAAAACAACGGTGCAAGGTCTCCCAGAGCTGTCACGTTATCGAGTTCCTTTGCTATCAGTCTCAAAGGAAATTATTCTGAGGCAAACCTGGTTTGGGGGCGACGATAAGATCGATCCAGCATAAAGAGAAAGATTTATGATTATTCCGGGCGTAAAAATATTAGAATGATATTGGCGATGTAGATACAACTGAACTGCACGGGCAATTTACGCTACTCTAAGTAGATACAACTGAACTGAACAGGCAGTTTACTCTACTCTAAGGTCATATAAACATAACAAGGTACCCTGTTTTTTGCGTCTAGCTTTGTTTAGCTTTCACTTATGCTAGGCGATTAAGGAACTCTTTCCATAAAAAGTCAGGACAAAGCTTATTTCGGGCGAAAAGCAGCGCGATGAAGATTTAAGAGTATGATCTCGGCAGGCTGATTTATGCTCAATTTAGGCTTCTCCTTGTAACGGCTAACTGCTCTGGTATCTGACACAGTTTGATACTACTCTGGTTTAAAGATTTAATGAATGTAACCGAGAAATTACAGTTCGTAGACCCAACGTTTTGACACTCCTGTCTAGTGCCTTCATCAGGGGTGATCGGAATGCTGTAACAAGAGGTCCTTTTAAACGCTCACTAATTAGCTGCTTTTTTTTCTGACGAGGTGTAAATAGGCGTCAGGAAGTAAGCCGCCATCATCACGATTTAAAGGAGCGTGCTCTGGTATCTCTTTGGATGCCACTTACAGTGTGAGATTATTGAAACCGACTTGTGGATGGGTAAAGGCACGCGCCAGCAACCGAATGTGGTTAAACTCAATTCCACTTGCTTTCTCAAACTCCTCCAGTTTCTGACAACAAAAAGAAAAACAACGTCAACAACAAGAACCCCTTTTCATACAGCTATACTATGCTGCTGCAATTTCAACTGCAGCTGCTGAACACAATAGAGCCAGAAGGAAAACTAAAAAACGAGCAGAAACATTTCAACCCTAATAACCCAAAAAAACCCAAACAAAAAAAAAAAAATGGGTAAGTGTCTGCTCACAAAGTTTAATTTCGTTTCTATGGTCTCTCTTTCGCCAGCCCCTGGTGCGAGAGACTCTAGGAAGGACTCATAGCCAAGAAATAGCACAAAAGCTGTTACACTTCTACAAGGAAACGAAACAAGAACACTAAGAAGGAAATTTGTACTCGACAAGTCAAAGTAACCGGCGCAGGCTACAATTGGCCAAGCTGCGCGAAATGAACCGCTGTTTTCTAAGTGTACACCTACGACATAAGATGTTTTAAAGCCTATTGTGAATACTTATATAAACATACAAAAAGCTTCTCCGTCAATTTTTACACTAAAAGTATAAGACAATATTCCTTATCCATAAAAAAAGTCACAAAATGGCAAAAAAAAGGAACGAGATGAACCTGAAGAATCGGGGATGACGCTATCAAGTGTCTATCACCGTCTGGTTGTTGAGCCTGTTTAGAAAACGATATTTGGGTTAGTCCCCTCATTCAATTCCAAGTTAACCTACTGAACACCTCGAACAAACTACGGTGATCAAGATATATATATATATATATATATATATATATATATATATATGCCTTACAACTCTATATTCCTTACTGAAAAGAATCCACTTTTACGCCGCTAGAAAAGATAATTTCCAGCACAAAACGGTAATTAAAAAAAAGGTACATTATAGTGACAGTGGTCATGTCGTTTATTCACCTGTAAAGGATGCTTAGGCAAGTTTGTCCAGACATCTCTGAGTTCCTAAAAATAAAACGTATCAACAATAGGGCAGTGAGAAGATTGAAGACACACACACAAAAATCGAAAAACCGCAAGAATAAAGCAAAGCGAACCTGTTCTTCAAAGGCCACGTTTGTGAACAGAACCTTAGTTGATGTTAAACCACTCTCCAAATACATAGCCCCTACGAAAACAACAGCACGTAAGAAAAATGTTCCATATATTCGATTTTCTTTTTCATTTTATTTACCATGACATATAGAATTGCAGCTGCCAAATATTTGCTCTACTGGTACACTCATAGGTACACCTGCTGTTGAGGAACTGTTGTATAACCCTTACACAACCAAGATTTCATTACCATTTTCCTTGCTATCTGCCGGACATTTCGGATCAATATCAGTATCTGGGCAACTGCCCACCTACCCCTCCCTTAACACAACATTAACCCTTATTTATTATCAATTGACTGTTGTTGAGTCAGGGGAGGGTTAGGTGGGCAGTTGCCCAGATACTGATATTGATTCGATATTTCTATGTCAGCCTCTCTAATTCCTCAGAGCGAACCACTCAGGACGAGAACACAAGAGACTGGGAGTCGGCAGATGGCCTCCCCTTGCTTCACCCCCTGAGTTTCAGTTGGTCCTTTTTTCAATCTCTATCGCGATTCCTTTCAACATTTCAAATATCGAAAAACAAAACAAAAACAACAACAACAAAAAAACAACCGGTAACAAAACAAGAAGAAGAAAATAAGGGAACAAACGTCTCAGCACTTACCAAGGAGGGCTTCAAAGCAGTTTGCCATGGCATGATTGAGATCTTCTTCCACGCACAAATCAGGACTGAAAAATAAAATTATCAAATGAAAGTGAAATCCCAGTTAAAAGTAACTTTCTATTTCAGTAGCGTAGGTGACATACCCGTGCGAAAACTGCATGTAGTCGGACAAACCCAGTTTCTAGGGAATATAAAGATAAGACAAATGAATGTAGATCAGAAGAAAACATACGCTCAAAATAATGATTTTGAAAATACAAATTTCGTTAATGTAAAAAGACAAATTACCAATTCAGAAAATTTCTCATCGAATATCTCTTGGCAAGTTTAAGCTCAAGGTCGTGATAAACCTCCATCAACTTCGTTGCCTTTTCCATTGCGTGCCTATGATTTACACGTACCTTGGCGAGTTGTGCCAGATGTTTGTTTTGCACTAAAGCTGAGCGGTACATGGCTAAACCTCCTTCAGGCTTTGACGGAAACATAAAATATAGGTGAACACTAGAGAGGAGTAGAAAAGAAAAGAGTCAGAGAGGCTTCTTATGAGACAAAACTATCGCACAGATGAGAGGGCTATTTTGTACCAAATTGCTGTGATTTCCCAAATTTACCCACGTCAAATCCAAACCTGACTTCCATATGTTTAGACGTGTTTTACCCAGAGATCTGAAATGAATACGTTCAGTGAAGGCTTTTTATTTTTTCCGGCAAATTTACCAGCATGCCCCGACTTGACGCACTCGACCCAGTTTTCCTGGTTTGCGTCTCCACATCTAACCACGGTGAGCTTCAGCACAGAAATACTCCAAGGAGAAATTCACAAAATTCACCAGAGGATAAAATGGGTTCTTTGAGGAACACAAGTCGAAATGTTTGTGTATTAATTTATCCGAGAGTAAGAGCTTTCCAGTAAATCTCACCTGCTAATCAACTCCAGAACAGCATCTCCAAGGAATTCAAGCCTCTCGTTATGTCGTATCCTGGAGAAAATGGGAAAGAGTACATACAATAAATACTGCTCAAGAGGCCAAAATGGCCCACCTTGTAATTACCTCATACAACGCTGATACCAGTCGCCTTCTAAGGCTTCAAGTGTGTTCTCCTCAATTAATTAAATTACGCTAAAACTACGGCATATTAAAATTTCGCAAGTCACTCTGTCTGGTGTGTCGATCTATCTGCCTGACTTTCTGCACGGGCGCTGTCAGTTTGTTTCTTCAAGTGTGTCTGTCAGTCAGTTTGTCAGTTTGCCTGCTTGTCGGTTTATGTGCATAGTACGTCTTTCCGTCCGTCTGTCAGTTTGTATGTCTACACGGTCTGTCTGTCAGTTTATCTGTCTGCACGGTCTGTCTATCAGTTAGTCTGTCTGCACGGTCTGTCTGTCTGTCTACACGGTCTGCCTGTCTCTGTCTGACTCCTAACTGACTCCACCTACTCTACCTGTCTAACCAATGCGTTATCTTGCCTCCAATTATTCTCCTTCTCGCTTTACTGAGGGATTTAGATTTATCAAGAGTGCCAGAATCATCAGCAAAACTAGAGAGAGTTTGGAAGCCAAGGTCAGAACTCTGTAATACCAGGATTACATTAGGAAGCTGAGAGCACATTAAACCATATTCCGTTCAGAAGGGTTTTTGGGGCAACGTGGTATTCAATTTAGGTGATTTAGTTTCTATAGAAACTGTTCTGTTGGGTCGACGTGCTTGTGAGAGCAATGATCAAAATATTGGACACCAACGTCATGAGTGTTCTCTCTTCATGAAGGCAACATCGCCACTTGGAATAATCAGGATAAGGGAAAATCTCTGATGTCTGTAAGCACCCTGTCCCACTCAAGTCCAGTTTTATAGCGTTCCACCACCACCAGGGTGGCCGAATGGTTAGTATGCTGAACAACAGATCCAGAGCCCTGGGTTCCATCTCTGGTGGTCAATGTACTGTATGTTCTTTCCACTCAAGAGTGTCAGTTGGTATGGACCACTTGAATTACTTACGGACTTTCCTATTGATTCTCGTTGCTGTACTTCATTTTTAACAATAGGGCTTTCCATGGACATAATATTTCCTAGTTCTCCACTAGTTAAACCTATATTAAATGACTGTCTGTCGCTTACAGGTGATACAAGAAAATAATAGTGCCTAAATTTAACATAACAGAGCTGTAGATGAGAATGGCGATAGGAACGTTAGTTGTTAGACTGTAGTTCACGAATGATTTGAGGTGCTTACATAGACTGGTGTTCCTCCATCTTGCCGAGGTTAGACATGACACGTATCAGCTGGGTAATACCTTAACAAAACAGACAATTTTAAACTGAGTAACAACTAAAGTACTATCATGTAGACGAATAAGAATTTGCCAAAAGAAAAGAAACTGAAACAAAACCCCAGTTCTTAAAAAACTATCTTCAAATCCAAGGCCAGAAAATATTGTACAATTGGCCATTGTAATTACACTGGTTTTTTGTTTAACAACACTCAATCGAAAAGCGCTATATAGACTCAAGGTATCTTATATCTCGCGAGTAAATGTGACGTGTCTCTAACGTGTTAATTGAAGGTTTTTTAGAGGATGAATGGATAGTCAAGGGATATCCAAGGGTCCGTCACTCGAAAGTCCCGGTACAAATCAGTTCTAAAGAGCTGATTTTGTTGATCATGTATAGCATTAAAATTCAAACGATAAAGATAAAGAACGTATTCGTCGTTAATTTTTATTAGTTAAGACTCGCTCTACTATTCCTTAGATTGAGATATCAAAACATGGCCTCAGGCCCGTTAAGGTATTAGCACCTCAGAGAAATGGGCCTTTGGTGGAAGAAAAAATATCGCGAAGTATCGCGATGAGAGTTCGGTCTCTATACTTGACCATCTCTTGTTATCAATGGGTATTCTCTCCCCCTACCTTTCTTGCGCGTGTGCAGATGTCGTATTTTTCTGTCGCCGTATCTCGGTTGCTTCACTCCACAGTTTGATAATGAGTTACGCGCGTGGTCTGGGTTCATACCAAAGTTGAGGTGATAGGAAGGGTGAGTCAGGGCAAGCTTTGGATCAAAACAAACACGAGAAAGCACATTAAATTTTAAACAGAACACTATTAACTAATTGTAAATACAAATCAGCTTGAATTTGCCTCGCGCAATATAAAATACCTGTAATAAAGATCGGTCTTTGAATATGTACCCCATCTTCTCGTCCAGCGTTTTCAGACACATGTGATAGCGTACATGGTGTACGAGTACAGGAAGGAGTAGAGCATGCTGGGAAAGAACAAGTATCACCGTCAATGCCTCAGCTAATTGTGAACTCACCTAGGGTCTATGAAGATGTAAATAAAGACTAAACACAAGCCTTTTCTGAAGGTTAACGTTAGTTACATGACTATTTCCGCTATTCTAGTTCTTATCTTCACCATGTGAGGAGAATGATTACTTGTAAAAGTTGCATGCTCAACCCTTCATATCCTAGCATCAATATGCACATTCTCCATACTGCTTTCCATACATGGCCTAAGGTGCGGACAAGGAGAAATTATCTAACAATCTACAGCTTCTTTAGTTGGTGATCATTTCCTTTATTCTCGTGACCATAATGAGCGATTCAAGGACGATATTGTAAGGAGAGAATAGATGCTAGTCATTCTTAGAGACCAAAGAGTTAACAAACCTGGCAGATATCAGACTTGAGGCCAGTTTTGATCATTCCTTTGCTGCTGACTTCTGCTAATATATCACGGCGCATAGCGCTGAAAAAATAAGCACGAGATAAAGGCAGGTTAACATAAGTTTATTGGATCAATATCAGTATCCGGGCAACTGCCCACGTACCCCTCCCCAAACCCAACATTAACCTTCACTTATTGTCAATTGACTGTTGTTGAGTTAGGGGAGGGGTAGGTGGGCAGTTGCCCAGATACTGATATTGATCAAGTTTATTCTTATGAAATGCACACATGGAAGTGGTTTAATCGAGGTTTGAAAGTAATCCAGCATTGTATTGTTTTTTCTTTACCTTTTTCTGTGACTGGACCACAAACTCACACCACCTTGCGACCGATCATGTGCTCAAAATCAGCCGCTGACTTTTCGCATGTGATCGGTCGCAAGGTGGCGTGAGTCAGTGCCCAAATTACGTTATCAACTCAGTTGATAATGACAAATTACCCAGTTATACTCTTCCACCGACGCAGCACCACAGTTTCTTGAGAAACTTTCTCCCTTTATTCTTAGTGATAGACTTTCGTTTCAGAGTGTGGCTCAGATTAATTTTAACCTCACCTTTTTACGCGCATATGCTCCAAGTCAGTCTAGAGGGAGAACAAAAGAAATAAAATGGTCGCTCAAAATACTTAACCAACAAAATAAAAAGGTAACACTTTTTCCACAAGCTATCCAATTACCTTGAGTTTGACAAGCTTATCTTGGTCCTTTCGACTCGGAACTGGCCTGAGAAAAAATGTCTCAATTAGAATGAATGTGAAACATGGAGTGTGTAGAACTAATAGAGCGCTTTTCGACTGAGTGTAGTGAAACCAAAACCAAAGCAACTACAGTGGCCAATCAGAAGAAAGGGAAATACCTTTAAGAACCAATGAGAATTCAAAGTAAATAAAAGTTAACCGCCTAAAGCGCGGGAAAACGCGGGCCACAAAGTCGTGATCGATGTTAGCTTTGGTTGAGAGAGTGGCGCAAAAACAATGCAATTCTGTATTGCTTTTGACACCCTATTAAAATTTGCTCTGACACTCAGGTTTAACTAAAAATGCTCTTAATGAATGAATCGTAACTACCAATCCTTCCGACGAAGTAGGATAGCAGACATGAAATAATACAATCAATTGCGCTGAATTGAATTGAAAGTGTATCGTAACAAGTAAAGAACGTCCACTTTCAGTTCACAATGCGAAATTTATGTGTGAAATTTATAAAGGAAACAGTGGGCCTTTAAAAATTCCTCGACTAGAGAGCTAGGTATGGATTGAAGGATAACTACACGAGGTTTGAAAAGTGAATTATATTCAAGCAAGTAGCACTCAAATTTAGCAAACTTGCCCACATTAATACGCTTTTTCTAGCGACTGGGATATTTTCGGTTCAGTTGATTAAAAGAAGTTTAAGAACGTGTTTTAAGTGAAACACTTTCACTTACGTGTTTGATATCAGGGTTCTTAACTTGACGTATGACTTGTATAGCTTTTGATACCTGGAAAACAGAAAAATGGTATGGGTTATGCGTTCCACCTACATTTATATATAAGCGTGCAATGATAAAATGATGTTGGCGTTAACCAACACTCAAGAGAGACAAGTTAACAAAGATATATGTATCCACGCGAGGTAAAATAAGACGAATAGAGGCTAAAAATAGCGAATGCACGATATCTATCTTCCCTCCACCTGGGTGTGAACTCTATTATATAAACAATAGTTACCTAGGATCTCCAGCAAAACTCATCTGCACTGGCCTGATACCGTGGTGCACAATGTAAGGATACATCTGTTTTCCATTTGTACAAGAAAAAGCATAAAGTGATTTTGAATGATAGGTCAGAATATTTACAGAGAAAACTCACAATACTCATGCAAGAAAAACAAAATAACATAGTATGCTCCTTTGCTTCCTTTCAGGAAAGTTATTTTTAATGACTATTGGCTGACAACCACAAAGAAACGTACCTTGCGTTTGGTCAATCGCTTATCATCTGTATGAAATTGTAGGTCGTCAACTCTGATGGCTGCTGGTTTCTAAGACAACAGTGAAAACACTAGATGCATATAGGACAGGATTTGGATTACTTAGATTGAATAGGATAATGACAAACAATCAAATCTTTGGTTGTTGGCAGAAGATAAATGTTACGTGACATGACTACATGTAAGGTAGTGTGGGTAATAATAGTAATGTTCAAAAAGATCATCAAAACTTTGAACAGTATATCTTGTTTTAACTACAGTTCAAAATGACGCTGAAATGCATATCAACTTTCTCTCCCACATACATGTATAGTGCAAAATCTGACAAAACAATTTGTTTCCTTTGTTGCATCTAAACAATATCACATTGTGACTCACCTTGTTTGGGTTCATGACAAGAGAATTTACACATAACTTTGAATATTCCCCCAATTTGTCAGCATTAAGGGCAAAATCACTTGGCTGTTAGAGAAAATCAAAGAAATTATTGTTCTGAAAAACACAAACAAAAGTTACACAAGTCTAAACATTACTGCTATGGCCGCAGATCAAAATTATTAGGTCAAAGCTCTGTTGAGCGTTAATTTTCTTCCAATGCCTCTCCACCTGTGGGTATGACCAGGTACCTGAGAAATTGCTGGAAATAACCTGCAATAACTACTCAGGAAAGATTGGCAATACTAACAATTACTTCAAGTCAGAGAAACCAGGACATGCTGCCATAGATATGATGTCCAATTAGTCTTAATTTAGATCTATATACAATCATATAGAACCCAGTGACACTATAAGTAGCAATAAGCAATATGTCACCAAAGAGGTAATTAATGCTGCAATCTCTGAATGGTACACTCCCTCCGTCAGCATCTATTTTGACCTCAGCTTTTTCAAGGCCACCTACATTAGTTTAGGTCTAGTGTTAAGATACCCAATTTCTTACCTGAACAAGAGGTTCAGCAGAGTCTAAAATATGGGACAACACATGGCTCATTGGAAGAAGTTCATGGTTTGCAGCTGATTTATTCTCATCTAGACAGAGGAAGAAAGAAAAACAAGGTAAAAGGAATTTTCCACCACTTCAGTGACTAAATACCTTATACTGACAAAATCCAAGGTCCATACCGTTAATAATGGACCATGTTTTTAACACCAAAACCACATACACAGACCATAAATTAGAAGAGAAAAAAACTAGCTTCCATAACTTAAAGTAAGGACCAAGAAAACAAGTTTTTAAGATATTTACTATATGATCTCTGGGTTCAAAGGGGAAAGATTTTAATTCAAACAAACTTTTGAAATTAGAGGACCAAACAGTGAGCCATGGTCTGCATATTGACCAATCATAGCACACATACTACAGTGAGGAAGATAAGTAATAATTGTTAAGTGTGCTTATAATGATGGAAAATTGAGACACCCATAGTTGATCATTAACCCACTATGAATTTGGAAAGGCAAACTTAAAAGCAGAGGAACTAATGGTAAGAATTGTCAGAAGCTTCACTATACATTGATGATCAACTTATTAAGTATTAAAATTCACTTTAAAATGTCATGTACATGTAATCAGCTATATCAGATTTCTACACAAATTAAGAAAAATTGATAACTTGGTTGTTGACTAACTTGAAGATCTGTGAACAAATCTTGGCATAAAGTGAAATCTCTGACAGGAATCTTGAATATTTCCTGCAAAAAGCATCATACAAAAGTTTAAATCTACAGTGCATGATTTAACATGAATGGCTAATGTTTTGCTCTTTGCTGTAAATATTAAGTTTACTTTCATTAGTATTTACCATTTATGTCCCAATCTGCCAGTTCAAGCACTTTGTAGAAGAAAAACTCTGTAAACAAGTCTAGATCTCTGACACAAAAATTCTGAAATTGAAACAAGCCAGTTGGATGAGAAAATATAATAAATACTCTTGACATGCACTGATGCATCAACCTATTCAAAGCTTCAACCTCCCCCTTGACATTTTAACTTTTGAAGATTGGCTTGTTCAAACCCCCCCCCCCCCCCCCCACCTATGGGTTGCCTTTGGGGGGAGAAGTTTAAGCTTCAGATTAATAGGCCCATAATCACATTAAGAATTCTGTACAAGAAGTTAAAATTGGCTGATTTAAGGGCCCAAGCACAAAGCATGCAGACCATTAATCAAATAAGAGAAAAGGGGAAGATGAGGAAAATAAGAAGTTAATTATTAGCCAACTATGTGTGTGACAAGTTAGAGAATTGATTTCTAGTCATAAAAAGGATTCAAATAACTGAACCATGTCCAAAGAAGACAAAGTCAATTTGAAATCATTGTTACATGTTGTTAAAGCACATTTAAAAAAGTAAAAAAATGACAAAAAAACATGTCAACTTTCCCTTTGTGATGAACATCAAGAGACTGTGGCAACAAACACAGCTTTAAAGTTTAGTTGGCTGACTGTATAACAGAGCATGGTGTGTTTAACTGATCACAGACCATGTAGTTATTAAGGAATACAATTTACAATAACATTGTCATTTTTTACTCCAACAATTTTTATTACCATTTCAGTATCCTGGTTTATAATGTGTAAAAAATTGTTTTTTCGTAAGAAGTGTAATTCAATTAACTAGGGTTGTCTGAGTTGAAAACTAAAAGAAATTTAAGATAAATAAAATTGAAGCTTGTGACCCAGCACTGGAATAAAGTAATATTGACTCACAGACCTCTGGAACTGGTTGACTGATGAAATGAAGAGTGTATTCAATGTTGAATCTTATCACAGAACAACTTGGTATCTAGGAAATCAATAGACATTTACAGTCATTATCAATAAAGTATACAATTATAACAAGATAAAGGTGTATATAAAAAATTTGTAATAAGCACCCTGGCTCTGTTATGTTAACGTCATTCTTTTGTGCTGTTTAACCCTTTAACTCCCAGCAGTGATCAATATGCAACTTCTCCCAATAATATCCATACATTATCCAGCAAACAGGTAATGAGAATATTCAAATTTATCAGGTAGAAGTTGTCATCTAGATCTAACACCAAATTCTTGTAACTAATTTACCAGGAAATGTGTAGCAGCTAGAGGGGAGAATTAACAATCAGATCTTGGGAGTTCAAGGCTTAGGATCAGAACTCAAGAAATCTGCCCTATGCTTGCCTTTGGTAACCCACTGTAAACCTCTTATGTAAGCAATCAACTCTTTTTGTGCTCAACCCAATTATTCTTGGTTCTTACAAGCTGAGTGTGTGTTGACACTCAATATTGCTTTATAAGCAAAAGCCAATCATGCTTTTAATACCTCAGCTATGATTTTTTTTAACAGTATTGGGAATCTTACCAATAAGAATGTTAAGGACATGGAAAGAATACCAGAATTTGCTAAGGCCTACTGGATCTTCTGAGAATCTTTCCAGGGGCCTTAGACAACTTTAAGAACAATATACGGGATAGTTGAGGACCACTGATGAGTAAGATATCCAATTAAGATCCTCAAACATTGTTACACAAATCTGTGAGTATCATCGACAATCTTGATGGTGAAATTTGTGACAACAGGGAAACTCACATCTTTAAGTGGCTGATGGGAAAACAATGAAAACCCCTCAAATGTGTAATCCTTTCCATCAAACTGGATGACACTTGGATTCTCTGTCTGAAAAGTAGAGATTTGACACAATAAAGCTTAGTTATGGAACAGAACAGCAACAATAAGTGAACAGTGACAGATAAAATGATTCATCGGATAGGAAATTAAAACAATCAAATTGAAAAACGTGACCATGTAGTAAGTGACTCAGACAGCAATGGATTGTAGACTCTATAATTCAGCTATTTCTACTAAATATTTCTATTCATAACTTACACAAGTTAAAGTAGCAACACATAAGTTGGTGGGTTTATAGCATTGTCTAAAAAAACAGTGGGAACATGAATGGGAAAAACATAAAAACCATAACTCTGTCAATCCTAAGCCATGATGTGCATAACATACCATGAAGTTGGTGTGTGGTGTAACAGTCACCCAATAATGGTCCAACTTGTCTGCATTGTTTGTTAAAGGGTCGCAGGCTGGAATGACCTGCGAAAAATTGTATGGAGTAGAGAATGTGATTGAGCAGCAACAAAATAAAATTCATAGATAATAAATTAGGTGAACATCATTTTATGTAAATATTTAGTGTTGTTTGATTTCATTAATTTCCAACTACAGGTAAATAGTTTCTGTCAATTTTGTAATACTCTCTCAATCAGATCAATGTTTATGGAGAAGATACTTTTCTTCGACAGGGCTTCTCTTCTCCCATAAGTATAAATGGATAATAACACACTGTTAGGAAAAGTGGAAGAAATGCTGGGGGTTAAGCTATGATGGTTCGGCATCCCATCCAGGAGGGAGTAGCAATATTCCCAGTTATTTCCTGTACAGATACCAGGATCAGCTCAGCCCTAATGGGACACAGGCTCTGTTGTAATAAACAAACAATAATCTAGATTATACTTACAGTTTCACCAGGGTAGATACCATGACGGATTCCATGCTGCCTGTCACTTAAACTACATCGGCAGACTGGACCATCATTTGTCTAAGGGAAAGTAAAAGCTGTTCAACAAGGAGCTCATAGAAATTTTAATAAAAATTGAACAATAACTTTTTTTCTAGGACTCAGATTATATTACAAATCAGGGGCAACATTTCTAAATGAAAGCACAAAAAATTGCAAGGGTGGTATGAGCATTTCATCCCTTGATCAGATTAATGGAAAACATTAAAACAGGTACCGTGAAGCCTGTCATCTGTTAAGATAGAGTGGAAAAGTTTGAGTTAAACTATAATTTACAAACTGTACACTCTCTTGCAGAACTGATAGGCAAACAGCCTGTGATGGTGTGTTACTACAAAGTTCAACCAATTAGGTTAATATGTTTGAGTCAACTAAATTTTAAACTTTGACCCTTAGAGTCAATTTGACCCTCAATTTGACCCCTTATCTACAGTACACCCAACTGTTCCAAAACTCTTTGAAAAAGGAATTCTACTTTAATTATCATTTAGTTGAGCTGACCACTGCTATACACTACTCTCCAAAAGTGTTACTTAACTACACCCACCTCTCCTTTTTCATTGAACCAAAGTTCTGGATGAAGGCGACAAGGATCTTCTATCTTTCTCTTCCTGGTCTCTGCCACAAAAGAACCTTTGGGGTCTTGTTCATGCAAGTTCTTGTCATTATCAAAGCTCCCACTTTCCTCGTCATCCTCATTATCATCACTGTCATCTGATTCAGAGCTGCTGCTCCCCAACCTTTTGCTCCCAATCTCACTATCATCTTCATCAATGTTAGATTCCTCATCACTGAGGAATTCTGTAGAATTACTGACACCTGACCCTATTCTGATCCATGATTTAGAAGAGCTGTCATTGGCTTCACAGTCCATCAGCAACTCTACATCACCAACATCTGTTTCAGTGTGGTTACTTTGCTCACTGTCAACACTCTCCTCATCATCATCACCAATCACAGCTGTCATATTAACTATTTCCTTATGAAATTTGTTCTGAAGTTCACTAAGCTTTTCTGTTCCCTGAACAATAGAAATATCTCCCTAAGCAAAAAAAAAAAAAAACACAAATAAAACTAAAATAAATCTAATAAAGACAAAGAATTATCACATCACCAATCAATTACTACATAAGCTAGAAAACTGAATATATGAATACTGTGGTTAGATTCCTTTCTTGGTTCAATTAGTTTTTAATAAGCCAGTAGATCTGCAAAGTCACTCACTGTGCTGAACACCTAAAGGTTTTTTTTTAATTATCCAGTTAAGATGGAAATAAAATGAATAACTTTTAGTCATTTTAACCCTTTAACTCTCATGAGTGACCAAGACAGAATTTCTCCTCGCAGTATCAGTACAATATCAAGCAGACAAGTGATGAGAATAAAGAAAAATATCAATTAGGGATTATAAGTTGATCCAATACCAAATTCTCCAAACAAACCTCACAAGAACTGAATGGCAGACAGTTAGAAGAATTAATAAGGAGATTTTGGGAGTTAAAGGGTTAATCAATGAATGGATCACAGCAAAGTGCATTGAAGATAGTCCCTGATCATTTACACCCTATTCTCCATTCACTTCCCTGTACATTTCCTGAAGGTGCTGACAAGGAGAATTTGTATAATAATCAAGAGGATTTTTAGTTGGTGATCATTTCCTTTATTCTTGTGACCTTACTCTTGGATTCAAGGGAGACATTGTAAGGAGAAAGTAGAAGTTAGTCACTTCTAAAGTTCAAAGGGTTAAAATAACCAGTAGCTAGAAACGGGAGTTTTGACAACTTTTGACTCTGAACAAATACTGTCAGCTATTCAGGTTGCCAAGATGACAGTCACCAACAAAGATTTGACTGTAATTTTAAGGACTACTGTCATTTGGATAATCAAAGTTCTCCAAAGCATGCAATGGAATGACATACCTCATTACTCTGCTTTTTAATGTAAAAATCTTCTGTTACCAGATATGTTATCACTCTCTCAATATCTGGGGGTGGTGGAGAATAACAACGATCAACTCGAGGACTACCTCTGCCACCTGCACCTGGAATATAGCTCCTTAAGAGAAGAAAAAGACCAAAATGACAATTGTTTCAGAGAAGAGCTACAGAAATATTTGTGAACAATTTTTGCATTTAAGTATCTCCAAGACCTACAGGTGTCTGTAGATAAATTTTTGCATCTGGACTTTCAATGCCAATCATTGGGATATCTCTACCAGTAGGATGTTCATTACAAACATGTTAATTGTCCTTTCTAGTTTTTTCTTACCTGATTGGTTCCAAAATTCTTTTAAGTTACAATATCCAGGTCTGGAGTACCTCAGACTTTCTTCATTTAAAAAGTTTTTTCGGTAACTTTGAAATCTTATGCCTGTAATTTCAAATTTTGAAATCACCCATTCAAGAACTTTAGTCAAATTGTACTTTTACTTATATCTCAACCTTCTTTTTCCAGGCTCTCTTCCCCTTTGTCCATCTCTGTAAGAACCTGTCCTTCGATAAAGAGGTCTACCATCAGGACTGAATTCAGAATTTCTCTTTTTGCTAGGAATGGGCTGTTGCATTTCAGAGGACTGGTTCTCATTTTTACTATGAATACTTCTTTTTCCAAAATGAGAAGGAACTGAGTTTTCTCTACAAATAAAGTGTTGAATATTGGGCACTGCATTGCTCCAGTGTGGCTCAGGCAAGTGTCTGTCAAAGCCTGCTGCAAAAGAAAGCCTTAGGTTAAAGCTTGGAACAGATTGAGGATTTCTAGCCTGCCAAGCTGAACTGATCAAAGGTGATGACTGCAGTCCTTGATGTAGAACTCCCTCTGTAGATGGCATCCCTCTGGACACAGATGACATCCCCCTGGGCCTAGGCAGCATCCCTCTGGGCACAGCTGACACTGAAGATGTGTATGGTCTAGGGTATGATGTCAGAACTGGAGGTCTAAAGGTTGGCTGTGGGTGCTTCATCTGCAAAAGTGGACTACTGAATACTGAAGATGGAGGAGCTTGGACCCCTCTCATTATAGGGACTGATGGAGATGTTAATGGCTGATGGATTGGGCCAGCAACTTTGTTAAAAGAAGTTGAAGTAGATGACTGAAGAAATCCCTGCATTGGAGATGGAGGATTTGTTACTGGAGGAGAATAAGCAAAATTCACAGGTAAATGCTGTATTGGAAGTGGGGTGCCTCTTTGAGGAACTGTAGGAGAAGACACAAACACCTGCTGGGTTGAAGGTGTGATTCTGTTGACAGAAGGAGGAGTAGATACTATAAAAGAAGGTGGCTGGTTTAAATTTAGTCCAGTTGGTTGGGGGCTCCTCACTTGCCATGAAGGGCCCTTGAAAGGTGAAGATGGTATGGCTGGAGATGGAACTGTAACAGGTGAGGGCAAAGTCGTGGGTCTATGTGGCTGGAGTTGGGTCACAGTCATTCCTCTGGCTGAAATCATCGGAGAGGGCTGCTGTAAAGGTAAGGAAGAGTTTGGAGCAGGTGCTATTGAGGGTTGTATAATACTTCTTGGTGCTATTGAGGGTTGTATAATACTCCTTGGTGGATTGATACCAGCTATTGCTGGGTGAAATGGACCATGTAATCTGGGAGGAGAACCCAAATGCCGTACAGGTGCTACTACACCAGGGTTGGTTACTGGACTCTGTCTGATAGCTGGTTGTCGTAAGTGTGTCTGAAATCTGGGATGGATGTGTTGCTGATTTGCCTGAAAAATAGAACATTGAAGAGTTGTGGTTAAGAATGACGAAACTCTGCTGGAGTTTGTTCGGTGTGGCAAATAACGATATGTAACAATAGATTAAAATATACATAATAAACAATCGTGAGGGTTAAAATAATTGATCAAGTACAATGCTTACCGGAGGCGCTGAAGCGAACGTTTGCGCGCTCGGTATGGAAGAAGATGGAGGTCTCCACATATTCAATAGACCTCAGCTACGCGATCTCAAGGAATCATCTGTGAGATACTCACGTGCATAACACGAAGAGATATGGAAATCATAAAATACCAAAGCTTCATCTAAAAGTAGAGGTAAGATATTTTGAAAGTCTGTCAAGATGCCGCAGCCGCACATTCGCCATCTTTCGTTCAAAGTTGTTTTCTAGTTTCCAGGTTTTATCATTATAATAGGTTAAGGGCCTGGACACTGGTAGGAAAAAAAAAATTATTTCAAGATGGCTTCTGGCGGAGGCGAATGGTGTTTGATTGAGAGCGATCCTGGTGTATTCACTGAATTAATTCGAGGTTTTGGTACGTACTGAGATTATAGTTGACCATGTAGCATTCTCTTGTAATACGAATAATCTCGTTTTCTATTGGGAACAGAGTCGAGATCATCCTGTTATCGTTCGATTTTGACCTTCCAGCGGGGAAAAAATTATCACCATGATGGTATAAGATTACGTTGCAGCCAGTCTTTGATATTTAAGACGTTTCTCAACCTAACAGGCACTATCAATCGCTATGAACTTGGTGATGATTAACCCGATCGCAGTGAGATGGAATCGCTTTTATTGCACGTTTCTGTTCCCTCTCAGAGCTCTTGTATTTTTCTTTGCATTTAATGTATTCCGCTGTCAAATTAAACACGTGTCGTTGTTTCTTATGCAACCATTCACTTGCAAAAGAAATCAGGGAATAGAGAGGGAGGCCCTTAGTTCAGGCTTTGTGATTTCTCAACATTCAAACTTGATATATTTATATTAATTTTATATTTATGCCATTTTCATGGATAGTTTCCCAGAATATAAGTCTTTTCTTTGAGTCGTCCACATGAGGGTTTACATTGTACCTTATTCTAATTGAAAGCAGTACACTGTTGGATAGCGTGGAAGTTAGTTTGTTGATGAAAAAAGGGAGGAAAATATAGGAAATGTAATGTTCATTATAGAGCAACAGCTTTGCAGGATTTTTGCACTATGACAGAAAATGCTTCACAGCACTTACACCTAATCATCATATGGGGTGCAAAAAAATTGTGCCCAAGGTTTAATACTTTTTTTTTAGTTCCTCTTTTTAAATATAGTATTTGAAAACATGCCTATCATGACCATGGATATCATAGCTACTGCTTGTCACATAGCCTAACTCTCTCAATTCCTCACTTTCTGTCTTTTCTTTATTTTCTCACCAACTTACTGTACATGTAACTCTAAAATACATTGAAACTTTCTTTGGGGTACCCCTCTCTTGAGCCTCTTTTCTTGAAAAAAGATCCCCACAGGATTACAGAAGGGCATGCACTGGACCCACTTTGGTCAATATCTAGATTCTATAGAAATGGTACCTGTATATCCTTAGTGAAAATGCACAATGGAACAACTTGTAGTCAATCATTCATTCATTTTCCCTCTTTAGATTAAAGTATCTCAATTTCCCATTACCAAACTGCTGTTACTGTATAATAATGTTTGCTATTTGATATTTTACTGAAGGATGTTCTGGCATTCAAGTGGAAGAGATTTACAGCCTTGATGAGGCATCACTCGATGAGTTAAGGTAATACTGAGACAGCTGTTCTGCTTTTCAATTTGATATATGAGCAATCTTCACAAGCTTTTTTCACTTGTTGCGTTAGTCTCTTGTGCTTAGAGTCTTGGGGAGAATACAACCTATACATTTTGAGTTATTCTAACTGGAAATAAATGTTTTTTTTTCCATTATCAGGGGTTTAAAAAAAAAAAACTGGTCTACAGCTATCTGTTAGACCTCTAACCACGGTTTGACTAGCCTGCAGGCAGGCTTTTGTGTTTAGGTTCTGCCTTATGGCTTTAGGCTTAGCAGCCTATAACATAATCTCCCCTCTACCTGCTACACATTTCCTTATAAATTAATTATGAGAACTTGACTTTAGATCAAGATGACAACTTCTACTCAATTAGTTTGTATATTCTCATTACCTGTTTGCAGGATAATGTAAAGATATTATGGGAAGAAGTTTTATGTTGATCACTTCTGGGAGTTAAAGGGTTAAAAACCCTGCATTTATTTCTGTTCTTTTTAATTTCAGACCAGTTCATGGTTTAATATTTCTTTTCAAATGGAAGCCTGGTGAAGAGCCTGCAGGGCCTATTGTGCATGAAAGTCGATCTCTTGGCATATTCTTTGCAAAGCAAGTAAGTTCACCTTTTTAAACCACATTTCTTAAATTTCCTCACTGTCAGTACTAGATAGATCTCATGGTGCATATCTACCTTAAATTATGTTTTTAGGTTATCACAAATGCCTGTGCAACACAAGCAATTTTAAGTGTGCTTCTCAACTGCAATCATCCAGACATGGATCTTGGACCAACCCTGTCAAGCTTTAAAGAATTTTCAGCAACATTTGATTCATCAGTAAGTTCAGTTTCTAGAGTTATGCATCACACTCTTGTAAACTGAAATGACCAGGGTTCAACTCTCTGTAAAGTAGGATTTACACCAAGAGTCCAGTAAGATAATTTTTTGGTCTTTTTAGGCTTTAAGCTAATTACTGAATGCCCACACATTTATGAATGTCTTGTTCACTGAAATAAAAAATGTACTCTTATCAATTATTTTTCTGTTAAATTTTTACAATTTATTATGTTTTTTTTAAGCTCTAATATTTCATTCATTCATATAGACTTCTCTTAAATAAGTAATCTCCAAACATTCCTTTCCAACTTTTAGCTAGTCCTGAGATCATGCTGCCATGTCAAATTCCAAAGTATGACCCTAAGTTTGATGATTTACTCAATTCTCACTCCTTACAGAATGTATATGCATTACTAGCATTGTGATGAGAATCTAAAGAATGGTCTCTTCTGGTAGTCAAACTGTTAAGAACATCATGCAGACATGGGTTCAACTCTCTCTAGAGTAAGATTTTCACCCAGAGTACAATACAATTGTGATTTGGCCTTCCTAGGCCTTAAGCCAATTACTGCATGCACACACATCTATAAATGAAATGAATAAAATAATAAATTGTTAATGATCATTTTGATCTTTTATTGATCACAGTTAAAGGGGCTCAGTCTCAGTAACTCTGATGTTATAAGACAAGTTCATAATGGTTTTGCCAGGTTTGTATCAATATTTACAAAGTGTGCAACTTATTCTTAATACTTTGAAGCATCTCAAAGTAAGTCACAATAAGTATAAGTTACAAGTGGATTTATGGTCATGATAGAGATGAGGTGACAGCAAGATGCTGAAGAGTGTGTTAGAAATCCTAAACTACAAATTGTTTGGTTTCAAGCTCTAATTCTGCATTTAACTCATGTACTGAAGGTATTGATTGACTTACTGCTTCACAGACAGATTGTCAGATGTACTGAGTTACTAACTGATTGACTGACACTAACAGACACACTGACTGACAAACTGACTTACTGTTGAAGGGCTAACGCTCAGAATGTCAGCTTTAAAACTCCAATTTACATCATCAACTCAATTGATAAGACCAAATTGTCTTGAATTACTGACTGATTGATTAACTAACTTACTCTATAACTGACTTACAAAGTGACTGATGCATCAACTAATTCCTGACTGACTAACGTACTGACTACTGTCTTATCAACTGAAGGATTGATTGACTGACTGGCTCACTGACAGACTTACATAGTGTACTGATTGACTGATGCACTCACTGGTTACTGACAGGTGACTTGGTACTTAATGACTAACTGATTGAATGAATGAGTGACTAATTGATTGATGCAATAATTCAAAAGGCTTCTCCAATTACCACAGTAACAATATTCAAAGGAAATGTTCAAGTATCCCTAGCAAGTTTCACAAAATGTCATTCCTCATTCATTTTCTTGTTACTTCAGGCAACAGATGTTTGAATTTGATGCCAAACTTCCTCCAAAAGACGACAATGTATATCACTTTGTTGCATATGTTCCAATTCTTGGTAAACTTTATGAGCTGGATGGCTTAAGAGATGGGCCTATTGATCTTGGTAATGTTCCTATTGAACTGTACTGTCAAATTTAATCCAATTTATAATTGTAATAGGAATGAGTGAAGTCCAGTTTGGTCTGTGATCATACAGCGGAGTGGTTGTCAAAATTGGACAACTGCAATACAAGAGTCTAATTTATTAATCACGACTATGATTACCGAGAGAATTGGACAACGCAAAGTCATCATACCCAGTAATCAAAACCACAACAAAATTTGAAAAAGAAACCAGACATCTGTCATACATTAAAAAAAAAAAACCCGTCAACTTGGCAAAATGCATGAGAACAGCACACGCACATTAAGATTACTGTCCATTTACCCAAGCATGACATGTTGACTGTCCTTGTAACTGTTCTACTACACAGTCTAATAGCAAACCCAATGCACACACTGTCCTATTAGTGCTCTTATTTGGCTGGTGATAACCAATCGCATTCCACAATAATTTTGTCATGTACATTATGTACAGCTGTTCGCAATACATATTGAAACACAAATCATGTTATCTATAGATATGAGCCTCTCATTCAGTTCTAACATTTTTTTGTATCCATCCCACAGAACTGAACATAAGTTGTTCTCAGTCAACTTGTCACACAGTACAACTTTCAAACATTGATTAGTGTTTCAACATCTTCTGAAAGTTAGACATTTCAATCTGTACTAGGCAAACAATTGAATCAGAGGGAGGTTTAAGTCAGTTGAATTTTTTCTATTAATTTTCTGTGGGTGCAAATTTAAACACTAACTCATTTATTTGTATCTTGTTAGGACCATGTACTCCTGAAAACTGGCTTGCCACATGCAAACCAATCATTGAAACAAGAATGCAGAAGTATGTAGTCCTACAAAGCATTTCTTTTCCCAGTTACAATTCGTTATTTTCAGTCGGTTATTTTTGTTTTTCTGCACAACCAGGAGGTTCTTTAAAAACAACTTTTTACAAAATAGGGTGGGATTTTTCAGGGACAGTAACAAATGAAGCTGTTTGAACATGGAGAAGCTCTAACCTGGCTTTGTTTGCTTAACCCTTTAACTCCCGTGAGTGACCAAGACAGAATTTCTCCTTACTATGTTTATACAATATCATGCAGACAAGTGGTGAGAATTAGTTGATCCAATACTAAATTCTCTGAACTAACATAAAAATTGTATGGTTGACAGTAAGGAGAATTACAAATTTGATCTGGGAAATAAAGGGTTAACTATCTCATTGTGAATACTGAGCAGAGGTAATGCATTTCAACATGATGGCGACTGTTTGATTGAGGAAAACTATGCACTAAAACCCAACTTTGTTTTATGATTTTTCTAATCTCAGATACTCAGCAGAGGAAATTCACTTCAATCTCATGGCAATTGTTTCATCAAGGAAAGCTCTTCACCTTAAAGACATTGACAGACTAAACCAGAGGAAGCAACATATTCTGGATCAGGTCTGAG